TTGTTTTGTTTTTTTTTTTTTAACTGGAGATTGAACTCGGGACCTTGCACTTGCAAGGCAGGTGCCAGAACCACTGAGCTAAATCCCCAGCCCCAATCAACATATATATTAAAATCTAGTGTATTGTAAATAGATAACCAAGACAGTCATTTTCTAAAGAATTATAATATAATTTCCTCTGTAAATGTAGATGAGGAACAGGTGTGTACACCTGTAATTCCAGCATTCTGGGAGAAAAGGGCAAGAGGATCAAAATTTTGAGCCCAGCCTGGGCAACTTACCAATTTAGTGAGACCCTGTCTCCAAAATTAAATAAAAAAGGCTTGGGCTATAGCTTAGTGTGAAGGCCCTTGGTCAAATCCTCATTACCACCAAAACAAAAAAGTTGGCGGTAGAACTCAGTGGTAAAGCAGTTGCCTCAAATGCATGAGGCCCTGGTCATTGGTACAACAACAACAACAGCAAAAGAGAGAAACAGCTAATTCGGGGAAACTTTCTGTAAATTTACAGTTAATTAGATATAACTTTTTCTATGATTCGAGGACTTTTTTTATATGTGGTAAGAACACTTATCATGAGATCTACCCTCTTACCATGTTGTAAGTCAGGCTGTGGATTTAGCTCAATGGTTCTACCACCTGCCTCGCAAGCACAAGGTCCCGAGTTTGATTCCCGGTACAAAAAAAAAAATATGTTGTAAGTGTACAGTACCAGATCATTAATTATGGGCCCAGTGTTATTTAGCCTGTCTCTAGAACTCATTCATCTTGGATAACTGAAATTTCATATCCATTGATTAGCAGTTCTCCAACCTCTAGCAACCACCGTTCAACTAACTGTACTTTTAAGAGTTTGACTATGATGGATATCTTGTACAAGTGAAATCATACAATATTTGTCCTCCTATAACTGCCTTATTTCAGTTTGAACCTCAAGGTTGATCCTTGACACACACTGTAAGACTTTCCTTCTTTTTCAATGATAATATTCCATTTTATGTATATACCTCATACTCTTCATCCATTCACGGCCAGTTAAGTTATTCCCACATCTTAGCTACTGTGACTAGTGCAATGAACACAGGAGTGTCATTATCTTTTCAAGATCTTGATTTCAATTCTTCTGGATAGATCCCAGAAGAGAAATTATTAAGAAACAATGCTGTTATTAGAAAAACAAAAGATAATAAGTGTTGATGAGATTGTGGAGAAACTGCAGCCTTTGTATGCTGTTGGTGGGAATGTGAAGTGATGCAGCTGATATGGAAAGTAGAATGGGGACTCCTGAGCAAATTAAAAACAGAACTATCGTGACAGAGATGTACTCCTGACATGTACCTGGAAGTACTAGAATAGTTGTAGGGGAATATTATATAATTATATAATTCAAGACAGTTACACACCTGGCCTTTGCTGGAAGTTATCTTACTAGCCTCTTGAGATGGTAACCTATATATAGTATAAGGAAACTTCTCCTTTTAGCTCTTTTCTAGAAACTACTTCTCTCTATATATTCCAGCAGAGGTCTTCCTGCTCCCTAAAATTTTTTTTTTTTGGTACTGGCAATCAAACTTGGGTCCTTGCGCTTGCAGGGTAGGCAGCGGAACCACTGAGATAAATTCCTGGCCCTGCTTCCTAAAATTTAGATTAAACTGGCTTGAAATTTCATGTCCTATGGAAAGTCCAATGTCTTCTCTCACATTTCTGGGACTTCCTGGCAGATTTATAATTTTATGGCCACACTGGCTCTGCCTTCCCACAATTCCTGATCCCCACTTCCGCTCCCTTATGATTGTTCCTTTATCTTTGTCCTGTCATTGATCCAACTGAGAAATTCAGCACCTTTTCTTGATTTAACAAAAAAAAAACAAACCAGCACTCATCCAAGAAGAATGCCAGAGACTTTATTGATGGCTTAGGAAATGGAAATGGTTTAAATTCTGAACAACTTGAATCACATATTGGATATTGAATCCTTTGTCCTAAAATTTTTGTCAGACTACTAAATTGTTGAGCTCTATTCTCGCTTTGTTTTCCTTCTTTTTTCTGTTCTCTCCCTCAATTCCAAATCTCTGAATAGTTTCTCATATGTTTATTCCCATCTCCTGCTATGCATGTTCCTGGGATCTTGTCCTCCCAATATTTTCTCAAGGTACAGTGGTACCTGGTTCACGAACTCAATTTTTTCCACAAATTGTGCCACTGTATTTTCTTAAACAAAGCTTACAAGGAATTCTGGTGCCAAATGTGAGGCAGGTTACATTCTCATGGATTTGTGTACCCATGTGATTATCAGAGCTGTTTTTCTTGCCAGGCTGTCTCAGACACCATCTTAAACTGAACTCTTTTTTCCCAGAGCTGATGACCAGTATGCAGGTGTGATGTTTCTGGTGACCAGTAGTGCATGGAAACCAGGAAAGAAACATCACATTTGGAGTAGAATACAGAATATGGGGTGGGGTGTGCAGACACAGTAGCATAAAATTCTTCTGTTATTGATCGACCAATATCTCTTGAACATCTATTCTGACTAAGGCTCCTGCAAGAAGCAGAGAAAGTGTGTAGAAATACACAGCAAAAAAATCTTGTACATGATCCTGTGGTAATACCAGGGATTGAAACTCCTACCATATTAACAAAATCAAATCTTCCTTATCCAGGCTGAATGGAGAGAAGAAGTAAAAAAACATTTTGAGAAAATCAAAAGTGAAGGAACTTGCATCCACCGATTAGATGAAGAACTGATTCGAAGGCGCAGAGAAGAGCTCAGGTCAGGGGGCTTCTCCTCTACTTCTTCTCATTCCCTGGTCTCCAGATATCGGCAGGAACCCCCTTGGTCAATCACCAGCCCCACTTCCTACACGTCTTCTTGCCTCTGCTTTTCACTGTTATGCTCTTTAAAAGTTGCCCTAAAAGTTGGCCCTTCTATGAATTCTAAAAAACATTGATTTCATAGAAACAGTGAGCAGAATGATGGTTACCAGAGGCTGGGAGAGTAGAGGAAGGGAAAGGTTGGTTAATGGTTACTAAGTTAGTCAGATAAGAGGGAGAAGTTGTTATGTTGCACTGCACTGCAGAGCAACTAGAGATAACAATGGCATACTGTATTTTTTATTTTTTGGTACCGGGGATCGAACTCAGGACCTTGTGCTTGTGAGGCAGGTGCCGGAACCACTGAGCTAAATCCCCAGCCCTACATACTGTATTTTTAATTTAAAAAGCTAGAAAAAAGGATGTGAATGTTTTTACCATAAGGAAATGATAATTATTCAAGGCCATCGATGTGTTTACCCTGACTGGAACATTATACCATGTATGTATGTATCTAAATGGTACATGATACTCCATAGACATGCACAATTTTTTGAATCAGTTAAACTTTACAAGTTTAAACAACAACAAAGAGTTAGCAGTTCTTTACATCTCTTTTATCTTCTCCTTCCAACTCTATTGTCCTCCCCTCCCAACTCTGTTATTCTCCTTTGTGATCTACTGTAACAAAGATGGATGGGGCAATGCTATGTGTTCATTCTGCCACTGGGCTAGTGCTAAGGAAGGGCAGAAATTTATAAGATTTGGTCCCTGGCCTCCAGAACTTTATAATTTATTAGGGGATACAAGACATATTCACGGACAACCGCTATGTTGGCTGCTATGACAAACTACCTTAGAGGTAATTTAAAAACAGAAGAAATGTATTACTCACAATTCCAGAGGCTGGAAAGCCCAAGACCAAGGCAGCAGCAGATTCAGTATGTGGTGAAGACCTGTTCCTCACACACCACACCTTCCGAGTGTCCTCACCTACTGGACGGATGGACGAAAAGGCTTCCCCAAGCCTCATTTATCCTAATCTTTTTCACTTGGGCTCTACCCTCCTACATAACACCTTCAAAGGCCCCATCTCCTAATATCATCACCTTGGGGGTTAGGTTTTAACATGAGAATGGGGAGCTACAAACCTTCAGCCCATTGATCTGTGCCATGAATAAGTACAAACAAGTGATAATGGTATCATCATATTTCCACTGACATATGCATAGAGCATACTATATCCTTTTTAAGACAGTACCAGTTCTACACAGACAAAGGCTACAAATTATGCTCCAATTTTATCTGTGGCCCTTAAGGATAAACCAAGAGGAAAGTTTACATTTCCCATCTCTCTGTCCTTGTCTGAGTCATTGTATCAGACAAGGGAGCCTTAAAAACAGAGGGCCTGGGGCAAATGCTTCTGAAGTAAACCTTCCTGTTTCTTACTTGATTAGAGCCTGCCCCTGTTCTCCCCAAGATTAGTGGACCTCACCGATCCTGTGTTTTCATTGACAGGCATGCTTTGGATATTCGCGAACACTATGAGAGAAAGCTGGAGCGGGCTAATAATTTATACATGGAGCTCAGTGCCATCATGCTGCAGCTAGAAATGCGGGAGAAAGAGCTCATTAAGTACGTATGCAGACCAGTGGAGGGCCTCCTGATTGATTTGTGCCTGTCAGTCAGCAGGGATGTACCATGCTTCCACATTGCAGCTACTCAGAGCTGGCAGATGTTTTACTAATTCACCCAGAAGTCCCCAAGAGACATGCTGTGCCCAGTCCCTGCTCCGGGGAGGCACACGGATACCGTTACAAGGGATCTGGCTGCCCTAGCATTTGTACTGCACCCTGCTGCGTAGTGCAGAGGTCTTCATGTCGGGAAGAACTTGGTGTGCAGAAGCGGGAGCTTATCGCCTTGGGGGAAGGAAAGTGGCTGCTGAAGGTGGTTTAAGGTGTCCCTCATGGTGGCAAGAAAACCCAGGGACCTGACCAGAACAGCAGCCACTGAAAATAAGCAGGATTTCCGCTATGGTGTTGGGGAAGAGAAAAGAAGCACCTGAACCATGAGCTGAAGATCAGGAGGAACTCAGGTTCATTTGAATTTAGTATCCTCTTTATTTTTTTAACCTGAGTAGCAGCCTTGTTATTCAGACAGCCTGTATAGAATGTGGCCGGAGCCTGTGGGGACAATTGACCAAAAAAGTGTTCTGCTCATCTTTTCCACCAGCTGTGGCTGAGCTGTGGCTTTTTCTTTCATCCCACAGGCGAGAGCAAGCGGTGGAAAAGAAGTATCCAGGGACCTGCAAACGACACCTTGTCCGCCCAATAATCCACCCCAATGCCATGGAGAAACTCATGAAAAGGAAGGGCGTGCCTCACAAAGCCGGAGTGCAGACCAAGCGGTGAGACACCTCCTTCACCAGTGCTGTGCAGATAAATGGGAAGATGGCCTTAATAAGACTTTTCAGAGGCAGAGGAGGGTGGATGCGGTCACTTCTGTAGCATCTGGTCAGCACACTGGGCTTATTTAAAACAGAGTAGGAAGGTGAGAGACACTGTGGCCTGCATACTGTAGATCTCGTCTGTACTCTTGAGGCACAGGTATTTATTATCCTAACACCAACAGAGGAAAGGGGACCTGGATTCAAATCCCAGCCCACGTTGTAAGCTGTGTTATTTGGGCACTCACCCTCTTTCAACCCCAGTGTCCCTGTGGATGAAATGATTTGAGGACAGAGTCACCAGAGGAGACCTGAGAAGGCCCCTTAGAGAGGAGATGGGGACCTCAACCCAGCCTGTGTAGATGCCTGCCTGATCGCAGAAAAGTATTTTAGGACGTGTCAGTGAGAGGCATAGGCTGATGTGTTAGCGTCAGAAAGTAAGAAAACGGGCAGTGACTTCAGCTGGAGGAGCGGAGGAGGCACCTGTGATGGAGAGGATCAGGCTGGCCCCTTAACAAAGGAATGAGGGCTGGGGATTTAGCTCAGTGGTTATGGCGCCTGCCTTGCAAGTGCTAGGTCCTGAGTTTGATCCCCCGTACCAAAACACAAAGGAATGAGACCAGCTTAGGGTGTACTGGGGTGGGCGAGGGTTCTGGTTTGCAAAGCGGCTCCAGGGAAGCCCGAATTGCTCTGATATGGTCTCCTTGAGGCATCATTTCCACTTCAGGCAGTCTCGGTTTTGCAGCGGAATCCAAGGTGACTGTGGGTTCAAGGCAGAGCCGGAACTTCTGGGTGCTCACTGGCAGTCAAATGAGCCTGTGAGTCTCTTACCTTGGTGTCCTCAGTCTGGAAGGGATGAGCCAGGTTATGCAAATTTAGGGTGAATCATCTTGTATTGCCAGTGTTTAGACAAATGCTCCTTAAATGATTAACATGGCTGGGCAGAGTCTGGCCCAAAGTTTTAAGGAGACATAAAGGAGACAGATATAAATGAAAGTCAAGCTTTGTTCTGCCTTTTTTTTTTCTTTTCTCTGAGCTACATCTCCAGCCCTTTTAGTATTTGGTTGGTTGGCTGGTTGGCTGGCTGGTTTTTCCCGTGCCAGGTATTGAACCCAGGGCCTCATACCTGCTTGGCCTCTGTGCCACATCCCCAGACCCTTTTATTTTTTGAGACAGGGTGTCATTAAATTCCCTGGGCTGGCCTCAGATTCGCATGCCCCTTCAGCCTACCAAGTAGCTGGGATTACAGGTGTGCACCCCCACACCTGGCTCCAGCTCTTTTCATTGTATTTTTTGAGACAGAGTCTTGCTAAGTTGCCCAGACTGGCTTTCAGCCTACAATTCTCCTGCCTCGTCCTCCTGCTTAGTTTCCCATAATGTAATAACACCACCAAAGACAAAGCTGAAGCTTTGATAATCACCTGTGTCTGACCGCATGGCTCCTTTCATTCTACCTCTCTATGGAGTTTGGTGAACTTTAACATAAAGTCATCTTTCAGATCACAGGTGTTCAAAAACTAGTTTTGAATAAAAATAAGACCACTCTTTTCCCTTTTTTACATTTGCCTTATACTAGTTTAATCTTAATTTGGGGGGCAGTGTTACTGGGTTTTTGGAGTGCTAGAGTCTCCTTCTAGAGGTGGTTTCTAAATTCCTTCTGTCCTGAGCAAAGAATTGGTCAAGACAAGCACAAACAGTAGCAAAGTTTTATTGAAGGTAGGAAAAGAAACAGGCTCTGAAGAGCAAGTTTGGGCCAAGTAAAAGCAGGAGAAGAAGTACAGCCTAAGGTGTGAGGGTGGGCCACCGTGCAAGAGTGAACAGTGGCAAAAACCCACGGTTGACTGTCCTTTTGTATCACCCACTCCCCAGGCTGATGTCAGGTCTAGGCCGTCCTAGTCCAGAAGTCCTCAAACAAGGCTTTGGGAACTGTGCTGAGCACGGGTTCCAGGTATGCCTCCTTTCCTGGACAGTTTTAGCCACATCCTATATTCCTGTCTCACTAATGATACCAGAAATGAAATATGAAAATATTGTATCTCCCAACCTGTTAGATGTCTGATACACCGAGCTCATGTTCTCTAAAAATTAAAGAATTAGTTCTAGGAACAGCAAAGGTTAAGAGTAGGAAATGTTTATTGAGAGGATAGTTCCTGAGAGGCAGGAGGGGTCCCGAATGGGTGGCAGAGGACCCCACTTTACAGGGAAGTTTTATAGAGTAAAACCCACGTGGGTACAACGTGGGGTACAGCTATGATCAACCAATAAGGTTACAAATATAGTCGCTTAGGTAACAGTGATCCAATGGGGAAACGAGTCATGCAACAAGTGTGCATGGAAAGTACAAAGACTCTCTAGGAAATGATGGGTCCAGAGGTCTTGGTCACCCACTGGGGTGACTGATGCCTATCCAGACTTCATCAGGCCCTGTGTTACCAACTTACCTTGTCCTTTAGGGAGTATGCAGGCCTGTTCATTTTGCCTTTATCTTGAGGCCTGGTCTCCAACAGATGTGTCTCTGGCCATGGTTGTGATGTGCTTTACCTTTGTCCTGACTCTCGAGGGCCCAGCCCTTTGTGACTGCCTGTAATATTTCTACCTAACTTAACTGTCTATCAGTGTAGCTCACTGGTAGAGCACATGCCTAACATACACGAGGCCCTGGGTCCAATTTCCAGCACCAAAACAAACTTAATATAACCTTAGTATACCCTTATACTTCTTTTTCATTCCCAAATGCTATGGAGCCATATAATTCCCAAGTAACAGTGAATTGACTCTGTCCTAGATAAGTTTAAGGAAATAAATGTCCCTAAACCACAGGTACAGACTCAGGAGTGAGACTTGAACTAAATAGAGGAAGAATAAAGGTAATTAGAAAACCCAAACTAAGAACGTATTTTAAGGCTTGCAGAATGGTGGCCGTTTTACCACAGTATGACTACTGTAAACATAAAATACTAAATTCTAAAATAATGACATGAATTAATTCCAGGTTTGCCCTTACTTCCTGCCTCTGACTGTCTTCTGGTCAAAGTCTGAGAAACTGTTTTCATTTGGTCCCTGGGGTGATGCTTGGGGAAATCCCAAGATCTCATTAGGGACAGAGTCTACCGCTGACCCTCCCTGCATTCTGCCTACAGTTTTCAAACCAGGAGCACAGGGGGAGAAAATAATAGGACTGTTAACTTTTTAAAATAGGAGCTCACGTTTGCTTTTATGTTGGCTATGAGAAATGTTTGAGAGTTTGACACCACCAGAAGCTATTTAATCAGTAAGTCAGCTGGACACGAGGAAGACACCTGCCGGGCGTCACACTGGTTGCTTGAAGGATTTCAGTTCCAGATGATTTGGACAATCTAGTGATTGCCAAGCTGGAGGTTCAGAGACCTCCTAGGAGGTCAGAGAAGAGAAACTTCTCACCATTCTTTTTTGTTGTTGTTGTTGTTGTTGTTGTTGTTGTTTGGGGGGTTTTTTTTTGGTACCGGGGATCGAACTCGGGTCCTTGCGCTTGTGCAGCAGGCTGCGAAACCACTGAGCTAAATCCCCGGCCCAAAACTGCTCACCATTTTTAAGTATAGATTTCACTCTGTGTCTAGCTAGAGACTAGCAAAAATAGAATTGTCCAATTTCAGATCCTCCTAGCCTGTCACAAGTGAGTACAGCCCAATAGGATGGGCTACGCATGTCCTGAGGAGAAGCTTGAAATGGGGAAAGACCTGTGCTCCGGAACTGAAAGGCCGTGTCACATCACCAGCTCTGCTTTATACGAATCCAGCCCAGCCTCTGACTCTCGGTGCCCTTGTCTATAAGTGGGCCCTGTAACGGTAGGAACCCGGTGCTTTGTACATTATAAAGTGCTGTGCAGACTGTGGCATTGCCCAGCAAGTCTGTTGTGGGATTTTTGCACTGTCAGCTTGGGCGAGAGAAACCTCCCCTGACTGAGGACACTTTGAGCTCAGCTCTCCTCTCCTAGGTATCACCATGGCCAGTTACCTTATAAGCAGATGCCTCTAACGGGCTTTGGAGGGCTTTCCTATCTCAGTAGAAGATTCAGAACCCCTTCTGTTCAGAAACTTTCTACAGCACAAACTGACTGTAGATTGCAAAGAAGTCTTGCTGGAGCACAGAACCCTGCCCACCTTATAAACCAGCAATGTCTGTTAAGCAGGCCTCTAACCTTACTTCTCCTGGAAAAGGCAAAAAGCTCATCTCTGACTCCCTGAGGCCTCCTAATAGCCTGCAAGCCCTGGAGAGGACAAATGAGGGCTTCAGCTCAGCAGCCCCTGAGAGCCTGTTCGACCTGCAGGCTTGTAGACCCTGCCCCAGATCTACGGAATCAAAGTCTTCATTTTAACAAGCTCCTGGGGTGATACCCGAGGTACCGGAAGCTACCTTCGGGTTTATATTCGGACTGTCCAGTAAGCCAGGCCGGAAGCTAGGAGAGACTGCTGCCTGGATTCTGTCTCTCCAGTGAGAACCTGAGCCACTTCAGATGGTCTTTGGTTTCCTCGTGACATAGAGGAAGTGGTGTCCACGCGGTGCCTGGGGCACCCATGGGCCTGCACGTGGTGTCTCAGAGGCTCCGCAGGGGTAGGGAGGACAAAGGGGGGAGCCCCCTCCCCTCAATTACACCCACTCGTCTGAATTTTTCTTGATAATTCAGTTGAGACAAAGATTCTGTTGTTTAAAAAACCAAGAAAGTTTGGATCCTCCAGTTCTAAAATCTACTGATTTGTATCTATGTGGTCAAAAATAAGGCCCGGGCTACTCATTAGTAGGAAGGAAGTGGCAGGCTTTCTGGTCATGCTAGTCTCTGCCCTGAATCGGTTCAGGACTCAGTTTTTGTTTATCTCTGGACCTTGGGATCGTTGTGGGCGAGGTTTGCCGACAGGGCTCAGGCTTCCTCCCGCAGTGAGCATCACAGCCAGAAGGGCCCTGGGGACACTAGGATCACTACCTTGTGTCACTTCACACCAGCCCTGTTCTCGTCACCTTTGCTCAGCTCCCTCAGCCCTCTAATACTTTCACTATAAATAACAGTCCTTGTTAGGGTCCTTCACATGCAGATATGGGTAAGACTTAGTCTCTGGCCTCTGGGAACCTCATCTAGGGCTCCTGCTTATTAACCCCAGGTTTCCTTCCTGCTACCAGGCTTTATTTCTTTGTGATCTCCTGCCCAGATCCACCATCAGGCGGGTTTCTGATGGTGAACAAATACCCAAGTCCATACCTTGGCATAGTAGCACCAAGCCAATAGGATGATGAGGAAGAAATCAAGAACCCTGTAAAGTAGAACTACAATTTAGAGGATTGAGTACCTAGGCCAATGAGACACAGAATAAAATCCAGAAGGAATAAAACAAATCCTCTGTAAGTGAACATTTGGGTTGTTTTCAAGTTTTTGCTATTAAACAATGCTGCAATATAATAATAAGAAACATACGTCTGTGTGCACATCTGTTACCACCACTAACTCAATCCCTGTATGTCTGACTGCTGACTGAAAGGATGTGTAGGGCTGGGGATGTTTCTCAGCATCAGAGCGCTGGCCTGGTTTGTGCAAGGCCCTAGGTTTGATCTCTAGCACTGAAAAAAAAAAAAGAATCAAAGAGCACGTGTCTTTTAAGACTTGGGATATATTGCTGTAAACTGTAATGTGTTTGCATGTGTTCAATACTAAGCCTGCTCTTTTCTCCTAGGCCAGACCTGTTGAGGTCTGAAGGTATCCCTAGCACAGAGGTGGCTCCCACTGCATCCCCTTTGTCTGGAAGTCCCAAAATGTCCTCCTCAAGTAGCAAGAGCAGGTATCGAAGCAAACCACGCCACCGCCGGGGGAACAGTAGAGGCAGCCATAGTGACTTTGCAGCCATATTGAAAAACCAGCCAGCCCAGGAAACCTCACCCCTGCATCAAGCTCAACCCCAGTACCATAGTCCTCTGCAGCAGCAACACCAGCAACCCCCTCCAGCCACGTCTCAGAGTCACCATCCCAGACTCAGCATGCACGGACAGGACATTGCCACCTGCGCCAACAACCTGAGGTATTTCGGCCCTGCGGCAGCCCTGCGGAGCCCGCTCAGCAACCATGCTCAGAGACAGATGCCTGGCTCCAGCCCTGACCTCATCTCCACAGCCATGGCAGCTGATGGCTGCAGAAGCTCGGAGCCTGGCAAGGGCCGGGCTGGCCCCTGGGGCTGCTGCCAGGCTGACCCTTACGACCCCTGCCTCCAGTGCAGGCCGGAACAGTGCGGGGTCTTAGATGAACACTCTGCCGAGCCAGTGGGGAGGAGCCCTGACCTTTCCAAGTCAGCAGCACACAGTGGGCTCTCAGAACACACCCGCGGCTCTGAGGCAGTGGAAGGAGAGGGCCTCAGGGGCTGCGGGTCCGCATCATCCCTTGGTCTCCCTCATCACGCCAGCCCTCCCACGCTACCTCGGAAACCAAGGCCCCTTCAGAAGGTAAGGTGTGCCCAGGAGAGGGGTCTAGGCCTCCCAAGAACATCGGAGCCCAGTGTGTTTTGCACACTGGAAACATCCATTAGAAGTCTACGTTTTAGAAAAGAATGAGATAGCAAGAACACAAACAGAAGTTTCTTTCGCTTTACTTTCTATACCACTTAAGTGAGGACTAGGAGTGTAGTTTGGGAACTACTGAAGTAGGGGCTGATTCGAATGTAGATAATCCATGGATAAACACATCTTAGGGATATGTAATCAAATAGCTTGGAAACCACTATCCTAGGACTCATTATCTAATAGTTCGAGACGCACCATTCTGTCTCCTCTTGGAGAGTCCTAGTAGACACTGACAGAAATCATACCTTTTGTTTGTTTGGTTTTGTTTTTTGAGATTGGGTCTCACTATGCAGTTCAGGCTAGCCTTGAAGTCACTATGTAGCCCAGGCTGGCCTTGGACTCATAGCAGTCCTCCTGCCTCAGCCTCCTGAGTGCTGAGGGATCACAGGCATGCACCACCACACCCAGCTCATAAATCATAGGCTTTGGAAACCATGCGGTAAACTCCTGTGACCCAGCACTTCTCTCACCTACTTGACCTTTAAGGTAGCATCTATTAATCCCTCGTGGAACTAGCTTTCTTCACATTATACTTTCTAAAACATTGCCTTAATTAATAACACATGGAACGACCTAGTTCTCAGTCTTTGAAACCTGTTTCTCTCCTCATCTACTGGCTGCCTGGGGTTTACTGGCTGGGCAGCATCTACTGTAGTGGCTGAGATCTTAGTTCAAAGCCAGGCTCTTCCACTTGGTACCTCTGTGGCCACGTTTCCTTGTCTAAGAATTTCCACTAATATGGACTCTGCCTCATTGGCTGATATGAGGATTAATACAGAGGAGCTAATACATCAAAAGCATTTAGAACAGTATCTGGAACATAGCAACCTTCCGCACATCTGCTATTGCATTTAAAAAGATTAGGTATGAAGTGTTTCAAACATTGTAATTCCCCACTCAGTTCTAAGTATTGTCTCATCGAATCCTGATGTAAAATATAAATGAGTATGTTTTGGTCAACACATCTGGTAGAAAAAAGTGAAGCTAGGAATCTTGTCTTGGAACTGTACAGGGTTACCTCAGCTCATGAACTTAATTCATCACACACTCAATTCTGGGGAAGAAGGGCAGAGGTAATGTTCATCCGATTCAGAGTTTGCAAACAATAGTAAAATTTTGCCGAACTCTTCTTTTTGGGAACCGAATTGTTCTCAAACAGAAGCATTCATGAACCGAGGCACTGCTGTGTTTTTTCATCTACACACGTTGCTGCCACCCAACTGAGCACTCCCAGGGCGTAACTGTGTTTCAGGTAGTCCAAGCAACTTGGGCTCATCTGTTCTCCATTCCCCAGCAACACGTAGCTTTTGGTAATGACTTTATTACGATACGATTCAGCTGGGCCTGCTAGTGCAGGTTTATAATCCCAGCACTTGGGAAGCTGAGGCAGGAGGATTGCAAATTTGAGGCCAGTCTGGGCTACATAGCAAGATTCTGCTTCAAAAAACAAAAATATAGGGGCCAGGGATTTAGCTCAGTGGTTCTGCCACCTGCCTCAAAAGTGCAAGGTCCCGAGTTTGATCCCCATTTAAAATGTATATTTTACCAGATGCGATGGTGCATGCCTATAATCCCAGCTTCTTAGGGGGCTGAGGCAGGAGGATCACAAGTTCAAGGTCAGCTGGGGCAATTTAGCAAGACTCTGTCTCAAAAGAAATTAAAAGGGCTTGGGTTGTAGCTCAGGACTCCCTGGGTTTAATCCCCAGCACTGTAAAGTATACAGTTCAGTGTTTTTTTATCCACATAGTTCTGTAGCCATCACTATGACCAATTTTTAAATATTTTCATCATCCCAAAGGGAAGCCTACAGCCTTTGAAACACCCAGTGCCACCAGACACAAGTCTTGTAGGCTTGGCCTCGTTAGGACCAAAAGCCACCCAGCAGCTCCCATGCCTAAGGGGAGTACTCCCAGCCACCCCACATCTCTGTCTCCATCTCCCTATGCAAAACAGCGTGTCACAACACATGAATACATGTTGTGGGGTTCCTTAACTTTCAGAAGGGTAAACTGTCCTCAACTTTGGACTCAGTTACTTGGACTGAATTACGAAGCTTGCAAGAGTCTACCTGTTCCAGTGCATCCTGGTGCTGTAGTGAAGGACTGTGACATTGAGCAAGGCTGCTCTTTCTGCCCTTCTCTTCCCGGGAAGGAAAGGTGATGTGTTCAGCTGGGTCCCTTCCCCAGCCTTCCAGGTCACCCATAGGGCCTGGCAGTCACAGGGCCTCAGGCGTCCAGGTCAGAGTTCCTTCAGCCCTGCCAACCTGCTGATGCAATAAAAATGCATGAAGTACCTTTTTAAAACTGGCAAATGAGAATTGTGTATATTTAGGGTCATAAACACCTGCTCATATGCAATGCTGCACTGGAATAAGGGAAACAATACAAACAAGATGTGCTCTGACCCTCAGAGAATGTGTCCTGTACAAGTGTAACATCTGTGACAGAGTAGTCAGTATAGAAAAGAGGAGAGGGTGGTTGTTGGACCTTGAAGAACTAAAGGATCACTTCTTGCGGAATCTCTATGGAAGAGGCTGGAACCACTCGTGACAAAGATGACGAGATTGTCCCCAAATCCAAGACGTCCTCTCCAATTTCCCTTTCATCACTCAGCTCCTTAAGGGCAAAAATTAAGTTCTAACTTTGGGGGCGGGGAGCAGCACTGGGGAATGAGCCCAGGGTTGCTGTACCACTGAGCTACACCCTCAGACCTTTTTATTTATTTTGAGAGACGGTCTCATTAGCTTTCCCAGGCTGCCCTCAAGCTTGCAATCCTCCTGCCTCAGCCTCTCAGTAGCTGGGCTTACTGGTGTGTACCGTTCGGCTGACCCTACTCCATTCGGTGTCCTCTGGCATCTCGTACAAGGCCTGTCATTTTGAGCACCGAGGACACGTTGCTAAATGAATAAATGAGGAGGCATATGTTAAAGGTGACATTCAGCAAGTTTTACCAAAGGCCTCTTGGTGATAATTTAGTCTTCTGCAGATAGTGGGAAGCCGGGGGGGAGACAGAGGTGAAAAGAGATACAAGTCTTTCCCCTTGTTCTCCTCAGAGTGGGGATGACTCTTCAGAAGAAGAAGGGGAAGTGGATAGTGAAGTTGAATTTCCACGAAGACAGAGGTAAAACCAACGGGCCCCGTGCGACTGCTCTCAACGGAGCGGGGGGCCCGGGTTTCCCACTCCCGCTGTTCGAGCACAGGTCACCCTGACAGCCACCGCACCGAGAAGTGGAACTCGCAGCGCTTGGTTTTGCCGCTGCCACAGTCGGATAGTTGCTCTGGGCGCTTCTATAAACGCTGAGCCAGACGCAGCGCCAGGCTCTTGGCTCGGTGGGCGGCGATGGGGGGCTGTGCCCGCTTCCGGTGGGCCTGCCTGTGGTAACCTGCCCGGGCTGCCCTAACAGAATGCCCAGCCTGGGTCAACCGCGGAAACTCAGGCCTCACGTTGCTGGAGGCGGGGAAGGCCAAGGCCCAGGAGCAGCCAACCCGGGTCCCGTGAGAGCTCTCCCGGCTGGGGCCTTGCGCAGTTCAGTTCCTAGCGCTCCTCTGTGCCTTTCCAGCTAGTCTCTGCCTGCCGTGACCCGGGGGGGGGGGGGGGGACAGCGAGGAGGGGAAGACCCAGGGCCTCTCAGCTGGGCCGGACGGGGAGGGGAGGGGGAGGCCGGGACGGCGCCCAGGTTGTCACCCGCTCTCCGCGCTTCCAGGCCGCCTCGCTGCATTAGCAGCTGCCAGTCGTATTCGACCTTCAGCTCGGAGAACGTCTCTGTGTCCGACGGAGAGGAGGGAAACACTAGCGACCACTCAAACAGCCCCGATGAGTCAGCCGAGAAGGTCGAGGGCCGCCTGGCGGAGAAGCTGGACGAGCTGCTGTCGCAGACGCCGGACATCCCCATCGACATCTCCTCGCACTCGGACGGGCTGTCGGACAAGGAGTGCGCCGTGCGCCGCGTGAAGACGCAGATGTCCCTGGGCAGGCTGTGCGCGGAGGAGCGCGGCTACGAGGTGGGTCACCCGCCCTCCCAGCGACCCCTCCCGGCCGGGGCTGGCACGGGCCGCGTCTTCGGGGCCTTTCCCGTTCCTCTGGCGGCCCCCGTGGACCAAGGGGAAGACAGGCCAGCGGCAGCTGCCCCCAGCGCGGCTCCCGGAGCTGCTCGCCTCTAAGCCCGCCGCCGGCCCGCTCGGGCGCTCAGCTTCCCGCCCTGTCCCCTCCGCCCCGCAGCACATGATGAATACATTTCAGGCTCGGTGCTGCCTTCGGACAGGCAGGGTGGGAGGTCGTCAGTCTGTACCCTGAACTCGGGCCGCCCACCCGCACATCTCAGCCTTTCCACTGGCCAGGTGACCCAGGGCATGTCGCTCAGCCCCTCGGAGAGCGTGAAAATGGGAACGGTCACGTCTGACCCATCGGTGAGGTGCGCCCTGCCTCACCGGGTCACTGCCTAGATTAAATGGTTGTGAAGCTCTGGCGACAGTGCCCGGAACATAGTAAATGCTACAGGCCAGGAGGCGGTGGTGTAAGTGTCGCAGCGCGGTCCTCCTGAGCAGCTGTGTGTGGCTCTTTTCCCTGTTCGCCCATCAGAACAGGCCCATCCCTTCGTCCCGGCCCCCTCCCCAGCACAGTGCCGGTCACGCGGGGGGGCTAACGTCCCCCCATGTGCCCACCGAGGGAGGGCTGGTCGGAATGAACGAAGTCTGATTTTGTTTGTCTTTGCAGAACCCCATGCAGTTTGAAGAATCAGACTGTGACTCTTCGGGCGGGGAGTGCTCCGATGCCACCGTGAGGACCAATAAACACTACAGCTCTGCCACCTGGTGAGGATGGAGTGCCCGTCCTGACCCAGCCATGGCACAGCGGCATTTCAGATTCCCCGCTCTTCCCACTCGCTCCCTTCTTTGTTTGGAAGGAGAGCTGCCCCATCCCACCCCTAGAAATGAGCTGCAATAACAGGCACAGGAGACTTCACCAATCTCTGGAAAAAAAAATATCCAAATGAAATTAAGTCTCACTGAACATTTCAATCAAGAATGGCAGGGATCTATTTTACTGAATATTCTAGCTACTGTAACATTGATATTTATTTTTCTTGGACATTTTAACACTTTGTACTGTAAAGAGTGAACTATATATGATAGAGACACATAATTTCTTGCAAAAAAAAAAAAAAAAGGAAAGGAAAGGAAAGAAGTGAACTTTAGGAGCAACATCCTTGGGAATTTGTGGGGCTGGGAGGTATTACTGCTGCTTGAACAGGGGACCAGGTCTTTTGGCTATACGTGACTGAGGAAGAACCAGAGCAAGACATATAGAGCATTTCAGAATACAAAGAACACAGAGGAAAAAGCAACTCCAGGTAACTTGTGAACAGATACATTAAGTTCAACCAGCTCGTCCAGGTGGGTGATGGGAATGACCTAGAAAAGTTTGGTGACCAGACACTCACACTGGAGGTCTCTGATGGCTGTGCTTCCTCTAAGAGGAAAACCCAACAAAACTGAACATGGGGAAGCTGCTTCCATGTTTTAACTTTCAGCAGCATTTGGCAGTGAGGCTTACAAGCTAGTGTCACACCTTGTCCCTGGCAAATACTTCCCTTTTTAATGCTGTCATTGTCGCTACCTTGACAAATGTGTTACTTTGACCAATGTGTTGATCTTTCAGATTCAAGTGCCATTTTCCTGCGGTGGCTTTTCCCTTTCCAGCTGTTGACCACTTTCTTTGGGAAGGGGTTGGGGTGGAAGGGGTTGCTGAGGAGGAGAAAAGGACAAAAGAAAAGGAACATCTGCAATAATATTAGGAAAACAAGTGTGGAATTTGTAAAAGTACATACTCAGGATGCTCAGTTCAGCTGTGTAGAGAAAATGGAAGCCCCTCTCTAGAAAGTTTCCTTGTCTGCTAGAATCATATTGATTCAAACAGAACAGAATTTGAAGGCATCAAGGATATGTGTGTATGTGCATGTCCAATGTCCAATACCCAAACGTCCCCTGGTTTTTATTAACTCATTCTCTCCTTGAAGCTTTAGTGACAGGCTATCACCATTGGAATAAAGGCAAAGCAAGCACCTTGCAAAAGGCAACCCCTCTCACCCCATAATAGCATTTTGGTTCATTGCTACTTGTAAAATATATTTTACTTCACTCTGAATCAGTGCAGTTTTTATTAATTGGACTTGGAAATTGGTGAAGAGAAGAGTTGATGCCGAGCAGGGAATTGGAAAGATTTTCCATGTCAAAGGCATGAGCCCTTCCTGTCCCAAAGGTCACGGGCTCTGAAAAGCACCCCAAGGGAATTCCTGGTGCCTTGGCTTTAAGGAACATTTGATTTAGAATTTTACAAAGAGATGTTGACCTAATTCTTGTCTCTGTCTCCAAGATCAAACAACCTCTCTACGCTTGCTAGAATTTCTGACCCTGCCTCCTGTAGGATGTTAGGAAAGGCTTGCACATACAGATATTAAAGCATTTCCAGGGGGATGAAAACGGGCCCCCTCTGCTGGGTTTCACTGACTGCATCAGCCAAAAAGGAAAGGCAGGAGGGAATTTAGAGCAGTTCCTTTTGTTTGTTTGATCCCTCCATTTGTTTACACTTTATGTTGAGATATTGATTTAGAATGCAGTGTCTATAATTTATAGCTCATAGGTAGGATGAAGGAAAATGTTTAACTTATACAGAGAACAGTATTGTTTGCATTAAATTATTCCATTTTGTATAACTTCTGTAGCTGGACTACATGAAAGAGCTTAAGTTATGGAGTTATTATCATTGTTATTTTATTTTGTATTATCATTCTCATTTTCTGTCGATCAGAAGGTGTGGTTTACAATGTAGCGCAATAACAGTGTTTATTGCTAGACGGATTATTATGTATTTTATGATTTGAATGAAGGCATGAATATGGAACTGCCTTTCGGGAGCTCCCTGGTCTCCATCTTAGCTGTGTTCCCTGATTTCCTGTGTACAGTAACAATCATCTGAGGGTGCATGCTCTGCCCTGAAGTCCCAAGGTTACACTGGGATTCTGGCTTGACCATGAAAGTGCCTGGGTGGGTAGATGACGGAGCAGATGGATAAATAATTTAGAAGCTGTAAACTTTCCCAAATTTCATGAGAAATAAAATCATGGGATGACATTAGAAACAAAAAGAGAATTATTTAATACTCTGAGAGGAACAGACCTAGAGTTTCTACAAGGGGCTTGTGGATTAGCTTCAAACCTTGTCACCAGTAGTGTGTAATCTCCTTACTGCCAGACTGCACAACACCAACCTTTTCCCCCTGAGTGGGAGGAGCAGGAAGACTTTAAAAAGAAAGAAAAGACATAAAGATGGCATGACATACAAGGCCTAGTTGTGATGCCATCCCATAACCAGGCTAAAGAAATTCAAGAAGATAGGATACTCAAAAAACTTGAGTCACTTAGAGGATCACAGGGCCAGGCGAGAGTCTCGAAGGCTGGCTTCAGATCTTGCTTACGCTATGACCCCCTCGGCGCCACCACTCCTCAGAATGGAAGTGTGAGGACTCCAGGTCCTGTTTTCGGTCAGCACGAAACATCGGCATTTCAGTTCATTCATTCTTGCCCCCATTTAGTGGCAACAGAAAAACGTGTGGATCAACAAAGCCCAGGTCAGGGCATAAAGCATGAAGAATCACATTTCAGTGAGGGTCTTCCTAGAAAACCCACCCCATACCTCATCATTCTGATCAGTTTTTGATTCCCCACCTTGGGGGTCTGTCCTGCCAATGCCACTCTCTTCAGATTGACTCCTATGAGCTTGTCGGGGGAGTAGATAGTGTTGAATCCTCAGTCATTCACTGTGTTGTCAAGATTTGAATAAAGTCCACATTGAACCCGTTTTTTTGGTAGAACTGACTAGAGGTTTCCAAGAAGGGTGTCCTTCGTCCAGGTTAAAAGAGAAATACCTTCCACACCCCAGCTTTGTCCTTCATTGCTTGCCTCCTGAAAACCAGGGCAATCTTGGATTGGTGTTGCTTGAGAACAGCTCCAGAGCCATCCGAAGAATGTTGAATCAAGAGCTCCAGGAATTTCAGAGCTAATTCTTTGGGTCTTATCAACCATAACAGTGCTTCAAGGAACCTCACAGGACTGTGATTTCCGGCAACATCACAGATTGAAAGCCAAGACCCCCTTGGAATGAATGTGCACATTCACTGAACATGTTTTTAACTGACTGCAAGATGTGTTTCCATTTGTATTGCTGACCAGCGCTTAGTTTGGGTTTTTATCTTTTTCTAGATCGTGTCCTCAATGATAATGGACCTTATGCCTCTAAAGCTTAGACCTGTTTGCAAGATTGTGGAGCGCTCTACCCGGAGAGGTGACAATGTTGTCTGGTGTAAGGTGATTAGGGATGGCCTAGTTGAAGTTAAAATATTTTAAAACTTTAGTATCAACACATGTGTCTTTCTAGGAGTAGGGTCATTTTTAGCAGGATTTAAAAGTACTGGGCATTTATTTCAGGGCCTCGTTGTGCTAAGTTATTCCCTTGTCCCACCCCAAGTCACGGATGTGCCAGTTTTGGATTTTCCTGGTATAACCAAGCCTATTGAAAGTGGCTTCCCCACTGTGGAGCACTCACTGACATCCTCCCAATATGAGTCCATTCTTCTTGGTCAGATGGCTCACTCTTTTTTTTCTATGCCTTTAGGTCTCATTTTTTTTTCCTCTTCTTAAAACATTCCTACTTAAACTTCCTAAAAATGAATTTTTCAGAGCAGAACATAATATTTAAAATCCAAGAAATTCCTACCCTACTCCACAGTACAGTGTGGTATATTTTGTGTTTCTACTGGGCCAAAAACAAAAACACCATCTGCCACCTTCATCCTAAACACCTGAGACTGTAGCTGTTGAGCACCGTATTCCTTCTACATTCAGCCTCAGAACCACTCACAACTCTGCACTTGAAGCATTTGATTGAACCATCTGATTGGAACTGATGTGCAAAGGGAAATCCCGCCATCCCACCTCAGATTTCATACTCAATTTCCAAAAGGTATCCCGAGCTCTTGAGTTCGTCCCGGCGGGAGAATGACAGGATCCCACTAGTGTCCTCCTAGTGGAGGCCACAAAGGCTGGCCGGGGCTGTATTATGGCAGGGCAAAGCCACTCGCCTCTCCTCACTGCCCTTTTGGACTGCAGTTCCACCTGAACAATCACCTACCACTGATGGGTCAAATTCCAAAATGTCTCTTCACTCACATCCTCTATGTCGAATGAGCATGTTCCTCCCAAGGTGCTGAGACTTGTGTGACATCCTTTTCAAGACTTCGGCTAATCCTGTCAGTATGAAATTAGTGCCTTTCCAGGCAGCAAGGTTTTCTTTGCTGATTTCATAGAACAAATGTCCCAGTGTACTCACACTGCTGGTGTTAGCAGCCTCACAGACCAGCCGAAGAATCCTGTTAGCCTGCTTGTTTTCGTGTTACAGCCGGTACTGCACAGGCCTGTTCACCTCGGAACACACTGGGCTGCTAAGCAGAGGACCCTGTGGTACCTGGAGCATTTCTCAGGGACAGGTGGCAGGAGAGGGGAGCTCTGAAATCACTGCTCTGAGAAACAGGAAAAGGAGTAGGTTCAGGTTTTGGTTAACTGTCACACAGCCAATGTGTGATGGCAGGATTTCCCAGAGCCAGGCCCCGAGCAGATGGCAAGGCCTCTCAGGGGGCTTCCAGCAGGATCCCGGCAGTACTGCTCCCCGGAGCCACTTCTCAGCACTCAGGGGATCCCTGGCTCTGGCCCCAGGCTACTGTCTAGCAACACAGTCATCCCGTCCCATGGCTGCAAGCCAGCGGGAACCCCGGGCAGAATGCTAGCTGTCAGGGAGACACCCCACCGTAACCACAGCACCCCTGTGCTTACCTCGAGTGAGCACTTCCCGGACTGCAAGTGGGAGACCCTCTGATTCTGTATGATAAATAATTTGAGTTCCTATTAATTTGGAGCAAATGAATTTCTTTTTTGTGCTTGTCTCAAAATGAACTCCCTCGCCTGTCTCCCCTGTGGTCTGTACTGTCGGTTCCCTGCTCCCTGTGTTACTTTCTGATGTCTGTACTGAACAGCAATGGGAACAAGAACAACTATCAAAGTGAAACAAATGCATGAGATTAAACAAAAAGCGTACTCCTGTCTTCTGGTCCCATCTGTTCCTAAACATATTGCTTGTGTCCTGTGGGCTGCCTTGACAGGCCTCAGCACTGGTCAGAACACTGAGAAATGAAGACTTCACATGAATGGGTTTTCTGCAACCAGGAAAAACATGGGCTGGAGAAAGCCAGTTTCTGTGGCTCTTGCATTTCAGTCACAACCACAAAAGGAAGAGATAACCATCATTTTTGTTAGTCTCTTCTTGAGTTTTCCTCAGAGCCCAGACAAGCACTCTGCTTCTTCCTGTGCTCTTGTGCAGCTGCTCCTACTCCTAACGACACCGCTATAACATGAGGAGAGGAAAACAGAAACCTGGAATAATTTTGGTCAGAAGCCTACTGAGAGTGGCAAACTAAAGCATCACTTTGGATTGTCTGCTTTTCAGCCAAGCCTGACTCTCTTTGGTAAGGGCAATTGAAATTTAGCAACATGTAGAACCAACCATTTATGTCCATTTATTTAATGCAGAATGTTTATATCCATTTATTTGGGAAAGTGCTTTACCTGTAAACTCATAACCAATAAGGCACATTTTTGGAAAATCATGCAAGAGGAAGGAAAAAGACAAATCTAAGGGTCCTGCAAAGGGACAAGGGGCACACATTTGCAACAGTGTAGGGAACCCCCGCCCCTCTTCCTTCCCCCTATTCCCAAACTCTAATAAGCCACCACTATCAAAGTCGCTTCCTCACCTCCACTCAAACCTTTTCCTAAAAGGAAATACAGTTTTTATTGAAATCCACAAGATTCCTACTGCATCCAAAAAAACACTACTTGGGAGTCCACTCTTCCTGTGGAACATGGTATACCTCAAGAATTCACGTAGAATAAGAGGCCTAGATTAGAGCCCTGACAAGATTCTTGGCCAAACCCAAATTAACCCAGCAGATGATGACCAAGGGTAACGGTTCTGGTAAGCTGCGACGAGGATAAAAGGTCAGTTCAGGTGCCAGGGTCCATCTGTCCTTAGAGGCAATGACCCACGCCCATACCGAACCAGCCTCACAGTTACAGGAAGCAATGACAGCTGTAGGTAATTACAATACAATGCTACCCAGTCATCAGGCAATTCTGTCTCTTTCAATTTAAAAAAAAAGAAACAACTATTCCTCAGTTATTCTCAGCAAATGACAAAATGAAGAACATTCCCAGGGGACCCTGGCTGGTAGCCTAGCATATGGAATCACTCTCCTAGCAGGAAGAGGTAGGACACAGAAAGGACACACCAGAAAATGTAGATGGTCACTGGACTTGAGTTGTCCAGGGCCCTGCCCTGTCCAGAACATATCCACAAGACACAGAGTTTGTTCCATTAATCTTTAATAGTCCGTTTGCAACCAGCTTAATTGTAAGAGCATAGAGCCAGGAGGAGATGTGACATAGAGGGACATCAGGAGACTGAACATAAGAGCATCACAAAAATCACTGCGCATCTGAGCCACATGTGGAAGTCTTAGGTCGCTCATCCACTTGATTCCCTTGGCTTAAGGAAGAGGTAGGTCATCTGCAAGAAAGTACAGAACAGGGGCGGGAATTTAGCTCAGTGGCTCCGCCGCCTGCCTCACAAGCCCAAGGTCCCGAGTTCGATCCCCGGTACCAAAAAAAAAAAAAAAAGTACACAACACTCTCTGAGAGACTGACAGAAGAGAAGGGCCATGTCAGCAATGTGGGCTCCCAGTGAGCAATGGCACTAGTCCCCGGAACACTGTCACACACCCTGTGCTCTGGACAAGGACAACCATCTTGTCCCAAGGCTGCCAGGGGCAGGCAAGAGGCGAACCCAACCAACCAACCATCCTTCCTGAGTTCTCTGTGGAATGAGCCCAGATCAATGGCGTCGTGAACCACATCCGGTATGCAAATCAGCAATAGACTTCAGGGAAGAGGCGAACCAATGGAAAATCCAGATCACGTGTCTTTTCTACTATTTGTGTAATTGGCAGCCCCCTTCTCATTCAATCTCAGGTGCTGCTGGCTGAACCTTTTAATGAGAGTTCCAGGAACTAAGGCCACCAGAGCCATGGCCAGGAGCTTCAGGACCGTCTCCCAGGAGAAGAGAGCATCCAGGGAGCTGAGGGTGGACAGGATGGAGCCGGTCTGCACACAGATGAAATTGTACGGGATCAAACCTGGAGCAGGGAGGGCAAGAGCCTGTGAGTGGGAGCAGGGAGACTAAGAAAAGAACGTTCCAGCAGTGACCTCAGGGATTCGGAAGAGTGACTCCGGTTGTCAGCCCAGCTCCTGACCTGGAGCCACAATCGCCTCCTTCTCTCCTTTCTGGTCTTTTCCTTCCTTTCCTCACTTCCCATCTCCACCCACCAACCCAGCCCAACACCTTGGTCTGCACATAGACACACTACAGTAAGATACAGATTTAAAGCTCAGAAAGACAAATGAGTGCAGAGTAGGTGAGAACTCAAATGCACAGAGTTCCTGTATTTACTAAAGGTGGGCCCCAGATCTGGTTCTGAGTGTCCAACAGCCACAGCAGAGACTAAACTGCCATCATTATGAGATTTACAGTATGCATAAGATTAAAGAAACAAATAGCTTAGCGGTCGAGTACTCTCTGCCATGCATGCGGCCCTGGGTTCAAACCCTCAGGACTGAAAAAGCAAGTTCTTTTTTTAAAAAATACTACTTTTGGGCCGGGAATTTAGCTCAGTGGTTCTGCCACCTGTCTCACAAGCACAAGGTCCCAAGTTCAATCTCTGCTACCAAAAAAAAAAAAAAAAAAAAAATACTTTTCATATTCCGAACTGTCTCTCAGAAGTAATCTAAGCCACTGAAAGCCCAGCTAGTGGCCAGGTAGGTTAGTCACACAACACCACCCTGGTGAAACCCTTAAAACACATGGTCAGGCCCTACTGCAGAGACGCTGGTTATTTGGTGCCGGGGTGGAGCCTGGGAGCCTGCATTTTAAAGTCTCTCCCCACCCCCTGCTCCAAGCTTCTGATTGGCCTTGGGCCTCAACAATCCCCTCCTCGTCTACAACAGAGGCAACAGAAGGGAGATGAAGGTCACAGACCAGTCTAGGCCACACAGCTTGCAGATGGAAGGAACTCTGGTCTCCAGAGTCTTCCCTGCCTCATGACACCTCAGTAACACATACCATTAACCCCATTAGCTGAGGTGCCCAAGCGCTCTAGTGCCGGAAGTGGCTGTGGCTGGCCTTGCTTCGTAAAGCTCTCTCAGGCCTTCCCTATTAATAGCAGCGGCTCCAGGACAGATTTCTGTTAGGCCTGAAAGCCCCGAGTGCCAGTTCCACCACACCCTAAGGCAGCTTTCAGAGAAGGCGACCCTTACTTTAGGCTTACAGGGCAAGGAAAGAAACGGTCACCAGCTTTACAGGGTGTTAGCGTTTTATCACCCTGATGAAGGTGGACCAAGGCCCACACTTGGAGAAATGCTGCTCTGGTCCCAGCCCTTTTTTTTTTTTTGGTACCAGGAATCGAACTTGGGTTCTTGCACTTGCGCAGCAGGCAGCGAAACCACTGAGCTAAATCCCCAGCCCAGGTCCCAGCCTTTTGAGGGAGAGCAGCTTGCTGGAGGTTGTACAATTGCCAAGCTAAGCAGAGACTTTAGAAATCATCTAATTCAGGTGATTTCAAAACTCAGGATCCCTCAGAATCCCTTCCAAGGAATAAAAACTCCAACTGGATCCTTACATCACCTGGAAAACTAAAATATGCTGAGTCCTGTGCCCCAACCCAGAGATGATGATGTAGGGAGCGGGCTGGGATGTAGCTCAGTGGTAGAGCACCTGGCTGGCATGTGCAGGCCCTGGGCTTCATTCCCAGCACCACACACACACACACACACACATGCACACGCACACATGCACGCACACGCACACGCAGCCCTCAGGCGATCTTTATTTTTTACTTATATACATATATACTTCAGCAGAAGGTGATGCTGGGGATTAAACCAATGAGAAACACTGCTTCATAACCAGCATTTCACCTGGCCAAGCTGTCCCCTGAGGGTAAGTAGCCTGCGGAATGTCATGCAGTTATCAAAAGGCAAGAAGGCCCTGACTGATGCCAGCTCTTCCTAAGACAGAGTTACTCACACAGGCTAGAGCCAGACAGAAAGTCCCTTGCTCGGCTCCACTCTTCTGCCCACACCCAGAACTCAGGGCCACACACCCTCACCCCAACGCTGCTCTTCCTGCTAGCATTTACTGAGCACTTTCTGTGGGCCAAGGCATGAGCTTCACACACAGACGATCTCATGCCTGACACAGCGCTTGATACCGGTTAAGCACTAAATACAGACACAAAATGAGTGACCCTATTGATTTCTTAAGTATTTTTATGGGTTTCCATGTTCAAGCCTGAGTAGATTTTAAATCAGCAGGAATTTAATTCTATGAGGTCACAGGCCTGGAGATGCTCTTTGGGACCCTGTCTTCTCGGAGGCAGGCACATGGGACCCTGGGCAGCCCCCCAACACGACAGCACCCAAGACTCAAACTTCTGCTGCAATCCCTTACCGATCAGGACTGAGAAGAAGAACTGCACGATGGGGATGTTCAGAATCGGGGCCGAGAGGTTCAAGAACCAGTTTGGTGTCATGGGGAAAAGTCTCAGAAACAGTAAGAAGAAGAACAGGCTGTCTCTGTTCTCCTCCACCTGGAGCAAGAGGATAGGGCGGAAAGTCACGAAAGGCACCGTCCTGGACACTGCATTCTACCCCCAGTTCTTGCCACAACCCTCAGGATTTGGGCTGTTTTTCAAACAGAGGCACCTAAGGATCAGAGAAGCTGGGAACTTTGCCCAAAGCCACAGAGCTAGGAATTCTTTTGTTGCTTTTTTTTTTAAGACAAGGTCTCACCATATAGCTTAAGCTGGCCTCAAACCTACAATTCTCCTGCCTCAGGCTCCGAGTACTGGGATTACAGGGGTGCCCCAGCACCCATGGCTTGGAGCTGGGATTTGATCCCAAGTCTGTGCCTCCTGATGGCACTAAGAGAATCCCTGAACCTGCTGAGAAGGGCAGAGGAGCCCTGTGGAACATCTGGGCTCCTCACTGCCCTGGGGCCATGAGGTGACACTCTGGCTGGTGCTCAGATGCAGGCCTCCTTACCTTCCCCTGCAGCAGGGCCACTTTATCCGGAAAGTAGGAGACCACCAGCTGCTTGCCAAAAGCGCTGGAGAGCACGTAGCAGCACGAGGCGCCCACCGAGGTTAGCAGGCAGCATAGCAGAAGCCCCAGCCATGGCCCAAACAAGGCGCCGGCTAAAACGTTCTGTGAAGAAAGCAAACACTCAGCCATGACAACATGGGGCAACTACCAGTGTCACCACCTTACCCTGCAGCCACGCAGAGAGTCATGGCTTCTCTCTCCTTCTGTAGCTTCCCAGCCAAAACCCATCACCCACTGAAAGAGGTGAATGAAAAGGCTGGGAACTGTAGCCCTGACCCCAGTCTCTCCATCAGTTTGTTTGTTAGTTTTTTGACTCCCAAAATATAGTCCAGGCTGGTCTCAAACTCACAGCAATGCTCCTGCCTCTGCTTCCTGAGTGCTGGGATTACAGGCGTGGGCCACCATGCCCAGCTCAGTCTCTTCATCTTTAAAACAAGGGTCAGGATTAACACCTCCAAGGGCAGCAGCAAATCCAAAGAGCTAATGTGTGTACACAGTGCCCAGCCTCCTGCTGCATGTGACCGGAGATGACCAGGGCTCTGAGAAAGTAGAAATGAAACTCACAAGATATTTCTACTATCTCAAAAGATGAATACACACCATGAATATTCCTTCAGTAAGACCACACAGGTTACAGAAGATTTTCTGTTGTTGTTGTTTGCTAGAATTACATCTGTGTAGTATGCTCATACTGAAGTTTCCGTCTTGACCAACACTCTAGCCAACGTTAGTTTTAGGTTCACAGAAATGGACAAGTAAACCAGTGCTTCATAAATACAGTCTGGCTAGTAAACATCATCCTGCCAAAGCCCGGGATCCAAGAGAGAAAGCAAAAGGAGGCCTTGGCAGTGAGGAGGTGGGGACCTGCTGAGCATCTAGTATGTAGATGTCTTCAGAGTCATGCACTAGCCTTACTCCATGCTACAGGTGACAGATTAAGTCTCACAGCAGGAGCATCCCCGGCAGAGCCAGGATGCACCCCAGGTCCAGGTATGAGGCCCCCACCGAGTAGTAGCTGGCTCTCAGCCCCAAAGAAGGATCAGCTCAATGGGGAAGATGAGCCCAGGGCAGCCCTGAGGAGTCAGCCCTTGGCCCGAGTGCCACACACCTCCCTTCCTCCCCAGACATGTCTGCTTATCTTCCAGTTTCCAACAGACTGCTTGGGGAGATCTAGACTGAGCCGAGAGTATAGAGAAGGTGCTGGGGGAGGAGACAGAAACAAGCCAGACAAAAGGGAGCTTTCGGGACTTCCTGGTCTGCCACTTGATCATTTAGTAAGTGCTGAGAGCCACTGCATGCCACCCACTATTTCATGTCTTTTCCCACAAAACAGTCGCAGGGCTTTCCCAAGGAAAGCAGGGTTGGAAGGCAGGCAGGACACTGACCAGGAAGCTGGAGCCAGGGATGGCAAAGCCCTGTTTGTAGAGGTAGGCGCTGCAGAAGAGCAGGAACACATAGGCCTCGTGCTCCTTCCGGTACTCTCGAAGGACCTCGGAGAGTTCCTGTAGCTCGGCTAGGTCGGAAGGGAACCACACTGACCTGGGGATTTGGAAAATCGGATGGAAACAGGAGTCCAGATCTGCCCAGTGCCCATGAACATTGCTTGCTGTTTCTTTTTTCCAAGTAAGTTTATAAACATGCCCATCACTGGGTCTGCTGGGAACACATACATAACCTGAACACATGACAGGTGACCCAATACAACACAGCAGAGCCGGACAGAAGAGCAAGGGTCCTGGGGTGTCATCCCCACTGTGCTACTTCCCAACTGTGTGACCTTGGGCCTCAGTTTCCTTATCTAAAAAAGGAGACATTGGTGCTGGGCAATCACTGAACTTCCCTTAAGTCTTAGATTTTATGAGTGATTGATCTTTGGTGCTGGGAATTGAACTCGGGGCCTCTCCCATGCTAAGCACATGTGCTGTGCCACTGACTACACTCCCAGACCCTTTGTGACCTATTCTTGAGAAGATTTGTTTCCAGGTGAGCACTACACTCCTTAGACTGCTGTCCTCTTAAGGATACTACGTCTCCCACAAGCCAAGAATAATTCAGGCTTCATCCTGCTCCTGAGATACTAGGAAAAACGACTGTTTCACCGTTCACTAACAATTACAGATTACCTAGGGAAGCCTACCTAGCCTATAAACATTATTATCCCATAAACACAACATTCTCGGGCTGGGGCTGTAGTTCAGTGGTGGATCTCCTGCCTAGCATTCTTGAGGCCCTGGGTTCCATGGGCAGCACTAAACGAAAAACAAAACAAACCAACAAAAACACCACGTAACTTTCTTGATAACAGGGCAGGCTTGAAACGAATCCTTTCGAAGAGTCTGTTTTTTCACCCTGATATTAATAATGCCGCTCAGGGCTCTCTGAACCCTGCCCAAGAGTCACAGGGCAAAGGCTGCCTCGCCTCCGCCATCGGAACAATCCTGAGCCTATCACCGATCAAGGATGAGCAGCCCCCTGGTTCTGGCGCGGGTTCTCCCCACGGTCCGAGTCTCCTCGGTGAGGGCACAGGCGACAGTGACTAGAGTGTTCCACTCAGATGTCGGGACATCGCTGAAAGCGCAAGGCCGCGGGAACCAGGTGATCTCCGCCCCCGCCAGCTGCCCAGCCGGGGAGAGGCGAGGCCGCCCCGCCAGGTGTGGCCCAGGCCATGCAGACGGAGGCCGGGTCCACCTCGCTCATCCTCGCGGACGGGCCCTCCTCTGTCCGGAACCCCGATCCCGCCACCCCCGCCGCGCACCTGCCGTCAGCCTCCCCCGCCGAGCCGGACATCGGGCCTCGGGGCAGCCGCGTGGACAGCAGATACAGGGCGAAGGTGCAGCCGGCGAAGACCAGGAGGAGGCCGAGGAGCGGGCGCATGGCGGCGCCGCGGCCCTGCCCGCCGCCGGGCCGCACGGGAGCCGGCCACGCTAGTGGCAGCGCAGAACCCTAGCCGCACGCGGACTGCGGGACGGAACACGTTTGCGGACGGAACACGTTTGCGGACGGACCAGGAGGTATTCCCCCCCCCCCCCGGGCAGGAAACTGTCTGCGCGTGCACCTCGGCGGGCGCCGGTACTTCCGTCGCCGTCTCGTTGTCCCCGCTTCTTTTTCCACCGACTCCGCGGGCGCTGAGCGCTCTGAATGCGGCCTCTGTGCGGGCTGGGAGGCTCAGGGCGAGCTGTTAGCCGGTTTGCAGTCAGCCTCAGTCTCCGTCACACAGAGCAAAGCAGCCCGACCCAGGGTCTCCGGTGCCCTGTGCGGCGCAGTGTCCGTGACCCTGGACAGAGCCCGCCTTACCTTTCGTCACCGCCCCCCCCCCCCCCGCTCCCGTTACTGTGTTCTTCACAGCCGCCCCGCGAGGTAGCTGTTTTGGTATTTAAAAGTCTGAGTTCGGGCGGGGGATTTAGCTCAGTGGTTTGGCCGCCTGCTGCGCAAGCCCAAGGACCCGAGTTCGATCCCCGTTACCAAAAAAAAAAAAAAAGTCTTGAGTTCGGTAGTCTGCACGGCCTGGGCCCCACCTGGCGGGGAGGCCTCGCCCCTCTCCCCGGCTGGGCAGCTGGCGGGGGCGGAGATCACCTGCTGCCGGGTTCCCGCGGCCTTGCGCTTTCAGCGATGTCCCGACATCTGAGTGGAACACTCTAGTCACTGTCGGAGTGTGGCTCGTGCAGAACGCTTGCCCAGCGAGTCCGGGCCTCTAGGTTTCGCCCCAGCGCCCCAAAATTTATGATAAATAGGTAAATCCGGGTCTTAGACTAAGTGGCATTCTACGCAAAAGAGTCGGACCAAGAACCCAAGCCAGCCTGCTCCAAAACTGGTGGTTCTCACCCTGCGGGGATTTGGAGGCGGTGGGGCTTGAGTAGCCCCTCAGGGCAGTGAGCTGGCCCAGCACCCGGGTCCAGCTTCAGGGAAGCCCCGAGGTATGAGAAGGACGGAGAGGCTGAGGACCACCTGGAAAGCCCTGGAAGGCCCGCTAAGGAGCCGGGCGGTTCATATGGTAGGTGTTGCAGAATCCGAGAGACAGGAGAGACCAGTGGGATTTAGGAGGATTTATTTAAGGTGAACACCGGCACAAAGGACTGCTGTCCAAAGGAAGAGCTTTGAATTGAAGAAGAGTTCTAGCTTTTATACGCCTGATGGGAGGTGGGGAATCTTTCTAGTGACAAAAGTGTGCACAGGACAAGGGCAGAGTTTAGTAACTTAGCCTTGTAAGAGGACAGTGTCTTACGAATCATGAGAACCGTGTCACAGACTTTGTTTACAGAACATAGTTGTCAGTTTTATCTGTACCTTTTGAGAACAGAGTTCCTCAGGGGTTACAAAACTTCACTTACAGGAATGTGACTACCTTATCAGTAAGGGGTGGGGGACCAGCCTTGCAGGAAGGCAGATTCTCCAGTAACCAGGACATTACAGGACCCTGTTAGCAAGCTTTAAGTCCTGCTTCATAGATGCTGAGGCTCCAACCGAGGTGTTGCATAAGCGTGACTCAGTTTCCCATTTTAGGATGCTCACTTTGGCTGGTGAATACTGTGCATGCTGAGTCAGCAGCTGTGACTGCCCGCTTGAGAAGGGACGCAGACTACAGTGGTGGGAAGGAAGATGGGCAGCCTGGGGGAGGTGGGTTGGTAGGGCGTGTGTCTGATTAAATGAAGGAAGGGACAGAGAGGCTCAACAGCATGGGCAACAGGAAAGTGTCCTTGTCATATCAGTCAAAGCATTTCCTGGTCCAAATAGCGAGCACTTGTCAAAATTCGAGTGCACATTCTGGGCCGGGGATTTAGCTCAGTGGTGCCACCACCTGCTTTGCAATCGCTAGGTCCCGAGCTCGATCCCCGGTACCAAAAAAAAAAATTCGAGTGCACAAAGTCGGGTCATTGCACATCCAAAAATTGAATCTACAGAGATCTCCATAGGTTTGCAAGAGTACATGTTCACAGATGTTCTCTCAGCTTTGTTTTGATATTAAGAGACTGGGAATGGATCACACCCCCATCAGCTGGGGGCCTGCTAGGTTCATGATGGCATACTCACAAATGGAATTCTACTGTCTGTAGCCGCCTGAAACAGGCAAGTAGCAGTAAATCCTGATAGCAGTTGCCAAATGCATGGCCAGGATAAAAATCAGACACGGGTTGGGATTAAGAAAATGCTGTGGGCCAGGCTCAGAGGTGCACACTAATCCAAGCTACTCTGGAGGCTGAGGCAGGATGAAAAGTTCAAGGTCAGCCCAGGCAGCTTGGCAAGACCTTGTCTCAAAATAAATTTTGAGATAAAGGACTGGAGATACATTTCAGTGGTAGAGTGCTTGTCTAGTATGTGTGAGGCTCTGGGTTCAATCCCTAGTACTGAACAAAAGAAAACCAAAAAAAAGGATACCATGACTCATTTTTAAGAAAAAAAAAGTTATATTTTATCTTTTCAAGATACTGAAGTATTTTACAAATGAATCCCAGTGACTGGGATTTGCATCACAATAACATTACAGGGTTTTGGTGGGTAGACAATAAATAGAACAAGATTGACCAGGGGCTTGGGATTTAGCTTAGTGGTGCTGCCGCCTACCTCGAAAGCACAAGGTCCCAAGTTCGATCCCTAGTACCAAAAAAAAAGATTGACCAGGAGCTGATTACTGTTGAAGCTGGGTAATGGACACGTGGAGGTGGATTTTATATTATTTTCTCTCTAGGTTAGAAATTTTCCATTTAAGAAAATAAGGGGAAGTAGTCTCAGCCTTCTATCCAACTGAGCACTCTTAGTTCCTGCCCTGGGCAATACTCTTCCCCCATCTGGCAGTCTCCCTGGCCTGGAAAATGCCCCCTTTAGCTACACCCAGGACAACTGTCACCTCCTCTTCAAGCTCCCTGAGCAATGTCATCACGAGACAGTGAACAGCTCCATAAGAGGCGATGTCTCATCAGTCTGTAACCCTGTGCTCAACTTTACAATTGGGACTTAATTCGTCTTTATTGAATTGGTGTGTCAGGTTCTAGCAAAGACCCGGCTTGGTATATGTTGACTTAGAGAAGCTAAAAGAATGTAGGAGAGGAAGTGAATGAGGAGCTATCGTTACTGAGCCTGTGCTGGGCAAGGAATCGAATATCGAACACGAAGGCAAGGTTACAGAGGAGGTCTTTACCAAGGATGGTTCCACAGGGCCTGGGTGATAATGCAGATGTTTATTTAACATATTTCCTGAACAGAGTCCAGCAGGCATAGGGTCCCTGCCTTACAGAGGAGTCTAGTAGAGAAGACAGATGTTAATCTAATAATCACAGAAATAAATGTAAAAGAGACTTTAAAAGTGCATTAGAGGAGTGGGCGTGGTGGCCCAAAAGCACTCAGGAGGCTGAGACAGGAGGATCGGAGGATCACTGTGAGTTCGAGGCCAGCCTGAACTACATAGTGAGACCTTGTCTCAACCAAAAAACAAGTGCATGAGGGGGCAGGATAGTAAACTGTAAGTGACATGAGGTCTGAGAAGACCCTGGAGAAGGGGTGGCTAAGCAGGAGAGAATCAGAGAAGAGGGAGGGAAGGGGCAGGCTGCAATGTCACAGCATGTGGATTTGAGATTCAGATACACTGACACAGAGCAGGAGAGCAAAGCAGCAAGGGACCGAGTCAGAGGTTCTGGGGGCCAGAGAAGAAAGACAGAGGGCAGGGGCCGCTTCTGAACCACCTTCACTGCCAGTGGCTGTTTTCCAAAACCCCTTGAAATTCATCTCCACTGCAGTAAGCAAACTCCCTTCTCCCTTTCTCCGTTCACTCTTCCACTTGCTCATCCACCCACCCCACCCCCTGACACTTTCCCACAGTGAGGCAGCCATGGTGCCAGAACCCGTGGCCCAACGAGTTTGGAAATTCATAGAAATTCTATTGCATTTCTTGCTGTCATGACCCCATATTTGAGGATAAGGGGGAGAGGACAAAAAGTGACTGTGCTAATCAAAATAAAGGACAAAACTATAAAAAGACATTGGGGCCTCTCAGCATGCTGACCTCTCTCTCCATCATCGCTGTGCAAACATGGAAGGAGGCAATGAGGTGACGGAGTGTGGTGGGCAGAGCGCCCGGCCCAGAGCTTTCTTCCACTCAGAGGTCTGTGCTCCCCGTTCTGTAAAGCAAGCACTTTCTTCGATACATATGGAAACCTGGAGAGCACACACCACACAGATTTCTGTCATCTATGAAGTCATCTGTTCCGTTACAAGAAGGGCTGTTGTCACAGAAGGCAATAGAAGTCACTTGCAGGTGGCGGATGGCACCGGGCCTGCAGCACTGCAGTCCCAGGCCCTGGACATCCGGCTCCAGGATTGTCCTCCCTTCGCCCCAGCCTCCTTGGCCTCGGCTCTCAGGGACCTCTTACTCACCTGTCGCTGTCACCCCGGATTCCCTGATCACACCTTCCGGGGAAACCAAACAATTCCTCAAACTGGAGGCTCTGGATGCCCCAAAAGCCAAACCATCTGTGCTGTGAATTCCATTCTCAGCAAAACAAGTTAACAGCACCATCCCATCAGCCCCTCCTAACAGGTAGAATTATGTGCAGCATTCTTTTTCATTTCGCACCTTGCATTTTTAAAATGTCCTTCAATAGGGGCCGGGGATTTAGCTCAGTGGTTTCACCGCCTGCTGAGCAAGTGCAAGGACTCAAGTTCAATCCCTGGTACCAAAAAAAAAAAATCCTTCAATAATCATGGATTACACTGGTCGTAGGGAAAAATAAATATTATTTAAGGGTTGCTTAAAGCGACGGGCTGGGTGTTGCTCAGTGGTAGTGCAGTTAGTTGCCTAGAGTGCATGAGGCCCTGGGTTCCATTCCCAGCACCACACCAAAAAAAAATTGATAATAATAATAATATTCTAGCTTTCCTCTCCTGCCTCTTCCTCTGCCCTGTGCCCACACCATGAGGCTGTGCCCTGCTTCCACGCCCCCCTTCCGTCCCCCACTTACTCCCCTCGGGGCTGTCACCCCTTCCCCTCCGCAAAGGTGGGAAGTCAGGGCTGTGGTGTTCTCAGTCGTCTAAGCAAGGAAGCTAAGCCATATCAAAATAAATAAAAGCAAATTCACATTCATCACAGCTCTCCCAGATGCAGCACCCCTGGGATTTCAAAGAACCCTTCACAGACTCAGCTCCCAAGCCCACAGCAGGCCAGCGAGGTAGGTCAGTTCCACTCTGCACTGTGTGCCTGACCCAAGGGGAATTTGGCACAGGTCATGGGAGTCCATGGTGGCTGTCCAGCCATTCTTCCTTTTCAGATGTGAGACCCACAGCCCCAAGGGACAGCAGCAGGCACCGGTGACACACACCAGAAGAGACAGGTCGGAACAAAGGAGGCCCCAGGACGCAGGCAGACAGCGCAGGCCTGGCTGGCAGGAGCCTGGCTATTTCTGACTTGCCCTAGTTAGGGGCTGCTTTCCTGGATCCTTGCATAACCACAAGGTCACCTGATGTTTGACGATGTGACATTTGTAGGACGATGCTGGAAATAACCTTCATTCTTCTGTACTTTCAGAACCTTGAAGAAAAGGTGAGGTGAAGCTTTGACAGAGGCTGTAGATGTCGCCTGCTTGACACTGCACTGCCACCGGTCCCCATGAAGTTAGAGCTGCAGCTTAGGGCAGAGAATAGGCCGGAAGACAGTTTCAACATTTTCCATCAGAACAAGGTCATAGCGGCACAGTTGTGGCCTGGGAAGACAAGACAAAATAGCATCATCCACGAGACAGCAGAAACATCATGTGCTACTCAGGCAAACTGCATTATATCCTTAGGCTCCAGGGTTATGTAGCAATTATTTCGAATGCTATGGTAAGGAAAAAGCCAGCAACAAGTGAGTAGGATGTCAATTGTTGTTACCGTGCAACTTCCACTAGGCCTAAGAGCAATACTAGAAAGATTCAAAAGAAATAGCCAAAAACATTAACGGTGGTTACCTCTGAATACATTACAAGTGATATTTTTCCGTATCAGTTTCTATACTTCCCAAATTTGTATAAAGTGACCATGTGTTCCTTTGAAAATCAGGACAAAAACTATTAAATAGTCCCAGTTATTTTGTTGTTGGTCATTTGTTTCTTTTTTGTTTGGTTGGTTTGGGCTTTTGAAACAGTTTCATTGTATTCCAGGCCGGCCTTGAACTCTCTTATGTACATAGCCCAGGCTGGTCTTGAACCCATGATCCTCCTGACTCAGCCTCCCGGGTGCTGGGATTTCAGGTGTGCACCATGTCCAGGAAGATTTAATATCGGTATCCTCTTAGAAGAGACTTACTGTTTTTCAAAACTTGTGTTATTAAGGAATTTGTATTATGAAATATTTTAGAGTTCCCTAAATCTTCAAGAAAAATAACTTCATAACCCTAAAGTCTACATCATCCCCCCCAGCTCCCTCCTTCCCTCTCTCCCTCCCTCCCTCCAGATTAAGTGCTAGGAAAAGTGACATCACAACATAAACACAGCTATGTACTTTTTAAAATCTCTCTCCCCTCCCACATGTTTTTCTAAACCAGTTGACAAATGGATAAAGATGTCATTTTTATACAATGGAGTACTACTCTGCCATAAAGAAAAATAAGCTTGAGACATTTCTAGCTAAATGGATGGACCTTGAAACCATACTCTAAAGTGAAATAAATTGGACACATGTTTAAATACTGCATTGTTTCTCTGGTGTGAGAAACTGAAAGTGGAAATGAGGACTGAAATGTGTAATAGATAGTGGGAATTGAGAAGAAAAGATTCAAATCGGAAGGGGAACAAGGGAGGGAGGGGCGGGAAGGAAAGACAGGACGAGAACAAAAAGAATAGAAGGAAAAATGGAAACAGTGTCTGTGGGTGAGAAGAGGAGGACTCAAAGAGGGAGGAATGGGAAAAAATAGAAGCAAGATGTATCATGTACTGGTAACATTCTCTATGAGGAATGTTGGCGTGTGTATCTAAAATGTACCAATAAATGTTTCTTAAAAAAGTAAGTTACTTATACCTTAATACTGCAGTGTGTATTTCCTAAGAACAAAAACATTCTCAGCCAGCCGTGATGGCACACACCTGTAGTCCCAGCACTCTGGAGGCTGAGACAAGAGGATCACCTCGAGTTTGAGGCTAGGCTGGGCTACGTAGTGAGTTCAAGACCAACCTGGACTACACAGTGAGACCCTGTCTCAAAAACAAAAACAAAAAAATCTCAGAGCAGTTGTCAAATTCAGCCAAATTTAACATTGCTATAATAATTGTCTTACACTGTCAATTAAAAAATCCAGTTTTTCTTTAACCTCTTTAAACATTACCCTCAGCTTTATCAGCTTGCCAAATGATACAAAGCATTCTTTTCCTACAACAAATTACTGGCTTGCAAACAGCATGGGTGGTTAGAGAGGAATTATGTAACTCTGAGGCTATAACAAATCAGTTCCTCGCCTGCTGGTCCTTTCTCTTTAAGCATACACCAGTATAACTGGATAACAGGGCTACTTGTTTTTGTTTTCTATTGTATTTATTGGGTTTTTTTGGTTTTTGGTTTTCTGTTGTGAGAAAGGGTCTCACTAAGTAGCTAGGCTGGATTTAAACTCACTGTGTAGCCCAGGCTGGCCTTGAATTCACAGCGATCCTCCTGCCTCAGCCTCCTGAGTGCTGAGATTACAGGTGTGCACCAATCAAGACTATTTTTTGGAAAACCCTTCACTTCTCTCACTGAACAGCCAAGCAAACTTGCCAGGACCCCGAACCCTCTGTCGCCCTGTCTCGGCTCACCTGTCCGGATGGGCAAGGGACCTCAGCTTCATGCGGATGACCCTGAGCTTGTACTTGGGGCTGACCACAGATCCGGTGGAGAACACCAAGGAAATCTCAGCCACTTCACGCAGATCTTGATCAAATCTCGCCAGCAGACTCACTTGGTGATACTTCTGAAATGTGGCCGGTTCACTAGGAAGCAATGACACATGAGGTGAGTACAGAGAGCCCAGGAGAGAAAGCAGTTCTGAGGCCTGCAAGTCACTGATAGGCAGGTGACCGCTTGGCCCCACTGCCGCACTGGCTGGCTCTCAGGAGCACCCCCTGACTTCCGAAGGGCAGCCTGAGGAAAGGTACTGCCCTCAAAATGCACCTACTGTGTGTGGGGGTCTGCTCATCCCCGTACACAGCTGCCCATTGCCCTGCCATTCCGAGCGGTGGGCACTGCTTTCCTGCTCTGCAGACAGAACAGCTGCAGAGCTCAAACTCCCCTGGATGGAGATTGTGTGTGGCGCTGTGGGGATGCAGGCCCAGAAGTTCAAAGTCACAGTCTTTCCATTGAACTGCGTTGCTAGTGCCATAGGGATATTTCTAGCCAAACTCTGTACTAATAGAGAAGTTAGTCTTTGTTCCATCTTCCCTCACAAGATGAACCACAAAACAGCTGAATTTCAGTTCTAATACGTTACCCAAGTGTGTGGGCATGTTTCCTACCGTCACAACCCCATGGGCCTAAGGTACACAGAGTCTCCTGGAGAGGTTCAGCATGACTTGTCCTTGTGGGGAGCTTGGAGAGGAGGGCACCGAGAACTGAGGGGCCCCTGGGTTCAGGAACAGATAGGCCTGTATACACTGGAGTACTACTGTGCCATAAAGGATGAATTTGAGTCATTTGTAGGAAAATGGATATACCTTGAGACCATAATGGTAAGTTAAAAAAAGATACACAAGCTTAAATATCACATGGTTTCTCTTATCTGAGGAACCCAAAGTATAAGTAAGTTAAAGAGCGAAATAGAAGATAAGAGGAAACAAGGAGATACATCTTTTGCAAAAGGGAAGGAGAACAGGAGATGGAGGGCAGGGAGGGAAAAGACAGGAAGCAGATGAAGAAAGAATGAAGACGTGTCATGTAGTATACCAGCTCCCCACAAGGAAGATAATCGTGTATGTACTGCAAACATGAGCTCATAAAAATTTTTTTTTAAAAAAGGAACAGTGGCTTGCTCCATACAGGATCCTTAATTTTGAAGTGGGGCAGATGTGAACAGGTGTCTCACCCCAGCCCCCCATCCTGTCCGGTCCTGTGGAGAGCAGAAGTGCCACAGATAAGATTAATCTGAAAGGGGCCCGGGTTTTGGTTTTTAAGACCAGAAGGAAGTGCCCAGAGAAGGACAGAAATGTCCCAATGACAGAATCACCTGCACCCATTGGCATGGCTGGTGTTGGTGAGGATTCGAGAGACTGGAGCCCTTGGGAGAAGTCCCCTTCAGGCTGGGAGTGTGGCTCCATGGGGACGCGCTTGCCTAGAGCGCAGGCTTACCATGAACAAGGCCCTGGATTCGACCCCAGCACCAAAAGAAAAAGAAGTCACTTCTAAGCCATCCACAAACACGGCTCTTTATCCACCCAGGGAGCCCCTGATGTGATTGCCAGTTTCAGATGCCACTCTGTCATTCTTCTGCGGATGTGGCCAACACAAAACCTCAGTGTCTGGAAGCCAGCCAAACTCAGGAAACGTTTGCAAGTAAAGGAACAAAATGAACCTCAAATTCCTTTGTTTCAAAGGTTCCCTCACCCCTTTTCTTGCTTATAGAAGTGATAGATAAAAACTGTTTTTGTTTTTGAGACAGGGTCTCGCTATGCGGTTCAGGCTGGCTTTGGCTGGCCTGTAGGCCAGGCTGGCCTCCAACTCACACCAATCCTCCTGCCTCAGCCTCCCAAGTACTGGGATTACAGGTGTGTGCCACTGTGCCTGGCTCTAATTATTTTACAATTTAAAATACAGCCATAATAAAAGATTGCAAACTAAAAAGAAGCTGAAAAAAAAAAGCATTCCTATGCCCCACAACCCTAAATGGCAATCTAAAATTTGGCATGTTTCTTTTTCTTTTTTTCACACTGTTGAGCTAATTTTATAATTCTTAGTGCCTGTATCTAGATGTCCCCCTAAAGCTTCATGTGCTTATGGGTGGAGCTTTCAAGAGATGGCTGAATCATGTGTGTGTGATGGATTACGGTGTGTGATACTGGGATTAAGAGTGTGTGATAAATAAATTGGTGTGGCATACTTCTAGGTGTGGATAATAGAAGGCCCTGTCTGGGTGTTGGTGGCACCAATCAAGAGGTCTGTAACCTGAATGGAACATAAAGGGACAGAAGGAAGGAAGGCTGCTGCTTTGCTGCTTGCTGCCTCCTGCCTACCCTGCCATGGACTGTTTCTGCTGTGATGCTCCTCTGCCATGCCACCCTGCCTTGGAACCAGCCAACTATGAACTGAAACCTCTACAAATTGTGAGTCAAAATAAACCTTTCCTTCTTTAATTTTGAGTGTCAGGTATTTTGTCTCAGCAACAAGAAAGTAACTAAGACAATACTTTATGTAATTTGCTAGTCTACATTTCACTTGCATATTATAAGCTTGCCTTTAACGTGTCATAAAACCTTCATTGTATGAATAATATTCTATTACATAGAAATATTTAAATGAACCACTTTCCATTGTTGGATTTGAGGGTATGTCCCCCCCACCTTTTTTTTTTTGCAATGCTCAGGATTGAACCCACGGCCTTTTCTCTAAGCTATATCCCCAGCCCTTTTTATTTTTTATTTTGAGACATGATCTTGCTTGTCACTAAATTGACCAGGCTGGGCTTGAACCTGAGGTCTTCATGCCTATTGTGGTTTAGGTCTAGAATGTTTCCCAAAACTCTCAAATGCTGAGAAGCAGGGCTTTTGGAAGGTGACTGGATCATGGGGTGTTATGTTCCTCAATGGGTTCATCTATTAATGAGGTCAGCAGCTGAGTGTGTGGCTAGGAGGTGGGTCCCAGTTAGAGGCAGGTCACTGGGGATGTGACCTGGAAAGTCCCTGGTGTGTGTGTGTCTCCTTCCTGATCATATTGATGTGACCCTGTTTCCTCTGCCATGACTTCTGCCATGGTGTTCTACCTTGGAGCCACTGACTGTAGACTAAAACTGTGAGGCAAAATAAACCTCTCCTTTAAGTTTTGGGTACCTGGTATTTTGTCCCAGCAATAAGAAAGTGACTAAAACACTGCCTCAGCCTCCCAGAATGCTGGGATTACAGGTTTGTGCCACCACGCCCAACTGGTGTTTCCAATTTTTGTTGCAAATTGTATTTTTTTTAGTTTCAACAACATATCTAGATATACATACATACATATATATGTTATATTTATGTTACATAAGTTTATATATGTATATTATGAGCTCATATATGTATAGAAATATGGCCAGGTGTGGTGGTGCACACCTATAATCTCAGCACTAGGGAGGCTGAGGCAGGAGAATTAGTTCAGGGACAGCTGGGCTACATAGAAATATTTGTGTGGTAGATGCCCTTTGCCTTTGGAGATGGGACTGTGGGGGAACGTGAGCAAGGGCTTGTAATTTCATGTGGAATATTCTTTTAGATTTATGAATTAATATTATTTTTGGTTAACAAATCAATCATATACATTTATGGAGAACAATATGAAGTATTGATATCTATATATGATATGAAATGACTAAATCAGCATATTCCTTGTTTAGCACTTTACAGTAAACAAGAGTAACTTTGTAATTAAATGTTTAATCAAAGGAAGTAAGGAGGAAAAGAAAGAGGTAAAGGGATGAAGAGAAGGAAAGAAAGAGAGAAGGAAAGAAGGAAGGAAGGAAGAAGGGGAGGGGAGGGGAGGGAAGGGAGAAAGAAAACCTTGCCACCAATCCCACTTACAGAGAGCCTGAGAAATCAAGAACCAGGGAAAGTAACCAAGTAATAACCAAGTAAAAAGTCTTCTGTCTTTTGTAGAACAAGAAAAAGTATAATCACAGAAATAAAAAGCATGTGTACTAGGGATTTAATTTCTCCAAGAAAAAAGAGAAAGAGCAAACTACAGGCTATTGCAGCTTAACTTACTGATCAATTTTAGATTCTGTGGTGTTTCCATCTTTGTCTCTCAACTTAATTGTGATGGACCCTCTTCTTACATTCTTGTTCCAAGATATAATGTCCACAAAGTAGTGATATACTGCCGAACAAGGAGAGAACTCAGTTAAAGAGGCATCCCTCCCCCAGTAACGTCCCAGAAGGAGCAGCTCCCAAAAAGCCAACATCCATAATCATTGAGTCTCCTTTGTTCTTCCTCTGGAGTTTCCCTGAAAAAGATGGCAGCCTTTCCCATCATTCCTTTCTCTTCCCTCTGCACTAATGCCATGCAAGAGAGCAGAGCTCCATGGTGTCCAGGCTCCATGTTCAGGCACAATGGGTTCCCTCTTTATGGACTGAAGTCTCTTAGCCTACTGCTGAGTAGGACCAGCTCACTTTAACTCCTGCCAACCTTATAATAAAACAACCAACTGGCCCTCTGAAGCCCCTACACAGCTGATAAGGTCTTCCATCATCTGGGCCATGACAGCCAACCCACCTGGCCTCCCTCATCTCTTTCCCAGTCATGCCAACCCCCTGTACTGCCAAGCTCTCTGTCTTACTCCCTGGCCTTCCTGCTTTGCAAAGCCGTCCCTCAGATTTCAGCTTAATATCATTTCCTCCAAGAAATATCTTGTCCTTCCCTGCCCCTCAGAATCAGCCAGGTGTCGTTTCTCGGAGTCCCAGTCCTGCTCTGGGTTCCCCCAGGGTTACTCAGCACCTGAACTACACTCACAAATTGCAAGAGAAGTGCTGAGCACATCTGCAGAAATATTATCTGAATAATTGGATTTTTTAATAGATAAAACTATACTACAAGGGGTGATTATTCCTCTTTATAATCCCAGCAGTCACACCCATCTAGACACCTAATAAATTACTGCTGAATAAAGGAGACAGGATGTGCTCAGAAAACTATCTTCTTCCTTGCTATTTGCTCCCCAAGGTCAAATGTATTTTGGAAAGATGGGAGTCTCCTGATGATAGTCTGATTTGCTATTTCTTGGTCAGACTTGCAAGGAAATAGAAAAAGCCTCAGAGAGATGATGGTCCCATGAAGGAACAAAGTGAATTCTGGAGTTACCAGTTCATGGCTCGTTATTGCTCAGCAGCTTGTCCCTCACAGACCAGGGAGATGCCATGTATGGCTCCAAAGGAAGAAGGAAACCCAGGCATCTGCCACCTTTTATAAACAGTTGCTCCCAAGAATAATGAAAAGGAAATGCAAGGTTTCAAGAAGAAATACATTTGCCCAGGTGGATCTTAATTGTATCCCAGGACATGTAATCATCCACTGCCCTAATTAGCTCCCATCTCAAATGCTCCACCTCTTGATGTCTTTAGGTCATGGTTGCTGCAGAGCTGGGATTAACCCATTAGATGTTCCTGCCACCTGAATTTTCCTAGCCCCAATTTCCTGTCTCTTGAGGAAACAATTTCTTAGTGATTACAGTGGCCATTCAGTGATGCCAACAATCCTGATTCACTGATATTTTAATCCTAATAACCCAGAAAATAGGCATTATTATCTCCATTTTACCAATCAGGACTCTGACACTCAGTGCTTAAAGGACTTGACCAAGGTCACACAGCTATTATGTGACAGAATCAGGATTCAACCTAATCCCTTTCCAGCTCCAAACTCCAAGCTTTGCTATAGCCTTCACCTGCCAAGAAGCAGCCAGGAAGCTGATGCTCAGCTATGTCCAAAAGAAAAGGGTCTGATAAAAATAACCAATCACAGTCACCACTCACTGCAGAATGGTTTCTGCTCAGCTGTGTCAAAGAACGCCTTCGTCGTTGGAAGAGCCTTCTCCTTTAAATAGCCTTTCCACTGATCAGCATAATAACCTATAAAACAAGTTGCAAAAGCATGTCATTAACTTGTCCTACATAATCGTGAAAGCAACCAAGGCAGTGAGAAAAGTAAGCTCGAAACCACTGAGGAGTCAACCTCTTCCCACCATCACCTGCCATGGTGAGGACCTGCAGGTCACCAGCCAGCCCATCCTGATGGCTGTCCCCAACCGTAAGAGCTGGGGTGCAGAAGGACCCCACAGTGGCTTTTTCTCCTTTACTGGCTCTCAGTAACACACTAGTGAGTGGTATACACTGGTATGGACCAAAAATAGCAGTGATGTTTTTGGTAATACAATCATTTTCTACATTAAAACAGATTTAGATTTATCTCTAAAATAGCATCATTATTGCAAAACATCATACTTTTTTGCTGGGGGTGGTACTGGGGAGCAAACCCAGGACCTTGAGCCTGCTAAGCAAATGGTCTGCCACTGAGTTAGACCCCAGCCCAGGGCATTCTTAAAAAGTGACAGACATTATCAATGAAAGACTTATAATTTCAGGAAGAAGTGACTAAAAGGAACAAAGAGGGATATTTAATATTAATAGTCATATTTCTTAGGAAAATATAACAATTTTTATGTAATTAATATAGCATCAAAATATGCCGTGCAAAGTATGATAAACAGTCATCCCTTGGTACTGCGGGGGATTGGTTCCAGGACCTTTGTAGATACCAAAACCTGAGGATGATCAAGTCCCATATATGAAGTGGTATTCCTCTAAACCATCTCTAGATTACCTATAATGTTTAATACAATGTAAATGTTCTATAAATAATTGTATTGTATAGGGAACAATAAAGAAGAAATCAGTACGGGTTTAGTACAAAAAATAAGTGACAGTTAGGCCACAAAATTGTTCAGAATGTGGCCTTGCCATGTAACAATGTCACCAAGCAGGTGATGTCTCCCTTCTTCTTGCAGGAGTCAAAGTAGAGTGCTGTCCAGTGGGCCTTTTTCCCTGTCAACTTACTCCACCTGGATAGGACCCAGGCATTGATATTTTTTTAGAATCCCCTGGCTGATTCCAATGTACAATCAAGGTTGTGCTTGTCTGCAGCCTGCCCTATTGTTGTCTTGCATTTTTTCCTTCTGGAAAAAAGAATGAGACAATTCTCATCCAGTTTCAAAGTCCTGACTGCCTAGAATATTCCCACTAACCCCTAGCCAACATCCAAGAGCATCCACAGTGTCTCCTCCTCCATCCTAGCCCTGCTGTGCCTGGGAGCATCATAGAGCACCACGAGGGCATCTGCAGAGTGACTTGTTGGCAGGGGCCACTCAGAAGAGTCCCTGGCTCTGTGGACCTCTCCCAACAGAGACTTCATGTGCACAGGACCAGGCTGTGTGAAGTGCTTGCACCCTGGGTCGGCTTGGGAGCGCTCTGGGGGAACCCCGTATTATGTGATAGAATGGCTAGTTCTGGGAGGTAAGCTCTGGATAGGCACATTGCCCTTATAACACTACCGAGGAGACCAGAATAACTCAAAGGACAAATCAGCTACAGAAAGCTGCCTAGGTATAGGGTTTTTTTGGGGGGGGCATATTAAGTTAGATACTAAAATGGTTCTGGGACTTGTACCAAAGATGAGCTCTTAATTCATCAGAGAGGGACACTGCTTGTCGGACATACCCACACGGGGACAGGGCTCCGTCCTCGCTGTGCCACAGCTGAGGCACTTGCCGTTCCTGTAATCTCGGTAGGAGTCGCAGGGATACGCGATGACAGCACAGTCTTCTCTCAGGGAAGCCAGGTACAGGTACACAGACCTCTGGTGGTCACACTTGAAATAGCTCTGCAGTCCTTGGTTGTAAAGGGGGTGAAGCCAGAGTAGAGTAGTTAAATCAATTAATAGAAGGACGATGCACGTTTTATACACACAATTTATGTCTCCTGCACCCCAGGCACCACACTAAAAGCTTCAGTATGCTTGTGTCTGTTTCATCCTTATAAAAACACATAGATGAAGATCCACGCTGGCAAGTGGCAGGAGAAGAGATTAAACCAGATTAGGTTATGGCAGGAATGAAATACAGCAAATCTACTTTAATTAAAGACCTGGGGAGCCAGGAACGCAGGTGCATGCCTGCAATCCCAGCTACCTGGGAGGCTGAGACAGACAGCAGGATCATGAGTTCCGGGTCAGCCGGGGCAATTTAGCAAGACCCGGTCTCAAAACAAATTAAAAGGGCTGGGAGTGTGGCTCAGTGACAGCATGTGCCCGGCATGCACAGGGCCACTGGTTGTATCTTTAGTACCACCCCAGAACAAACCTGATTGTTTGTAGCACTTGAGGTATCTTTCGTTGTCATCCAGTGTTTCAGCCAGCTATCGTGCTGATTGAATTAAGAGTTCAGGGCCAATCTCAATTATTTCTAACTCAGAGGAGGCTTAGGAATTAGCATTTTAACAAATATTGCTGCCTGCCCTCCCCCATCTGGTCTGGAGCACGTAAATCCGAGAACCCCTGGTCTAACTGTGTGAGGCTCCTTTGTAGACTGTGTACTGTACACGTGTGTCTGCTCCACGGGCGTTTGGCCACCTGCAGTAGTGGTGGCCAATTTAGCGAGATGCTCTCTCAAAAGAAAATGTTAAAAGAGCTGGAGAATGTCGCTCAGAGGTAGAGAATTTGCCTAGCATGTGTGAGGTCCTGGGTTCGCTCCTCAGCACTGGGGCAGTGGGGATTTAGTCATGATCATCCTCAGTCTGCTACTGGTTGGCACTAATAATTACTGCAACCGTTTTTGGCCATGTCGAAAGCAACAGAGCTGGCACTGAGCAGAGACCAGGCAGGCAACCAAGACAGGTATGATGAACAACTGCTCAGCATCACAGGTCACTGGAAACCACAGCCACTCATTGGCTCTCAGGTGCTGGCCTGTGACACCCTGCCCTGAGGGTGTGGGGTATTCACAGTCTGGGTGTCAAAGAGCCTCCAGCGGCGTGGTTCTGACGTAGGCTAAAGATTGAGAACCAGGGCTGTGCTGCAGAACAGGGGAGTGTGTAGAGGGCTGGGGAGGGTCCTGGCATACAGACTTGAATCTTAATCGAGCCATAATTTAGCTGGGAGCTGAGGCTCACACTTGTAATTCCAGCTACTTGGACAGTAGACTGAGGCAGGAGGATGGCAAGTCCCAGGCCAGCCTGGGCAATTTAGTAAGACTCTGTTTCAAAAAACAAATTTTTTTTTGGTACCCAAGACCAAAAAAAATTTTTTTTTTTTTTGGAACTCGGTACCTTGCACTTGCAAGGCAGGTGGAAACACCAATGAGCTAAATCTCCAGCCCTTTGTTTCAAAATTTAAAAAACAAAAAACCATGCCTGCCTCGAAAGCGCAAGGTCCTGAGTTCAATCCCTGGTACAAAAACAAAAATTAAAAAGGACTGGTGATGTAGCTTAGAGGTACAATGCTCACTTAGCATGTGTGAGATTCTGGATTCAATGCCTAGTATTAGGGATGGGGTAAGGGGGACCAGAAAAAGAAGGCATTGGGAGTCACTGATGGAGGTAGGTCCCCAAGGAGGACAAGGAGAGGAAATGGCTTTGGAAAGGGAAGATGCCTCTATCCTGGGTCAGGGGAATGTGAATATAAACATTGGCCTCATGAACTCAGATAAAGATAGACAAAGTGGCTTTCCTGGATGGGACAAAGGTCAAATCTAGCTCATCTGTAGGAAGTGAAGGTTTGCTGAAGGGAGATCTGTGAGTAGGAGAGCCTGTCATTGAGGGCTCCAAGCTTGCCTGGACCTTGAACCCACTCAACATGGCTTTAGGACTTCTCCTGCAGTGTCCCAAGCAAAGAAGGCTCCATTATGGCAGAGACCTGAGGGACTGGGGCTGCAAAGGGCACGTGTGATAAGACCATGTGGTGGGGTTCCCTCTCTGCTACAAGGGTGAAGGACAGCAGGTGGCACTTAACCGTGAACCAGCAAGAAAAAAGGGGTGGTATGATGACTGAGGACGCATGGACACTGGGTTAGAAGAGCTAGAGATGAGGGTGAACTACTGATGTCATTCAAAAAAGAGAACTGAGTCCCCAGGCGGGGGTAGGATCTGAACAGGAAGCAGTAAAGCCCATGGAGAGAGGAGCTGCAGTTGTGAGCCAGGGGTTTGGAGGCTGGAATCAGATCAAAGTTTCTCAAGTCCTCCAGCATCCACTCGTGCCCACAGAAGTGACCAGTGAAGGACAAGGAACATAAACTGGGACAATAAGGGGGACCCTGGGGCTAGGTCAAACCCAGCAGGCCAACACGTGTTCATTCCTCATCCCTGGAACTTCCTTTTTCAGGAACAAGTTAATACCAATCCCGGGGTGGCCTTCCCAATCAAAGCACATTCTCTGTGGCTGTTGTGGACACAGTTACACATCACACTTGCTATGACACAACACGGCTCGCACTACTTACACAGTTCCAGCCAGATCATTTTCAAACACTGTGTCATTCTAATGGGGCCATATATAGCTCCCATTTTGTACCATGATCATCTCTTTTTCTAGAATTAATTATGCCCAGTTGTTTGATTTTTTTTTTTTTTTTGAGACAAGTTCTTGCTATGTAGTTCAGCCTGTCTTTGAACTCACTGTGTAGCCCAGGCTGGCCTTGAACTCATAGCAATCCTCCTGCCTCAGCCTCCCCACTTCTGGGATTACAGGTGTGCACCACCACGCCTGGCAAGTTGTTCGACTTTTTCCAGCAGCAGTGAAAACTGATTTATGGCACTGGCAGTAGATTTTTATATTCTGCCCAAACACACACTTTTACATTGCCCTCCAATTCCCCATTTTTGTTTTGTAGAGTTTTTCTCATTCTAAAAGTAATATATGTTCATCTGGGGCTGGGGATGTAGCTCAGTGGCACCGTGCCTGTGCTTGCAAGGTCCTGAGTTTGATCCCCGGTACAAAAAAAATTGCCCATTTGGAAATCATAAATTAATAGAAATAGTGATGCAAAAAGCACCTAACCAATGATAATTATTTGGAGTACTCTTAGTTGAGTTTTCTTCTTATACCTACACTTACACAAACATGCATTTGAAGTGAAGAACAGATAAATTGAGGGCTGGGTGTGTAACTCTGTGCTAGAGCACTCGCCTAGGTCTGCTCCTCAGCACCAAGAAAGAGACAGAGACAGAGACAGCAACTGAAATCATGTTGGATGGTTTTATGTTTTGTCACTTAATGCCATAAGAATTTTCATTAATTTCTGAAAATATAATTTTTAACAATTATATTCCTTACATGGGTGAACCATAATTCATTTGTTAATTTCCCTATGTTGGGCATTTAAATTACCTCTAAAACATTATTATAAATAATGCTGTGTTGTACATTTTTTAATTTCTTGTCTACACTTCCCAATTGTTTATTTCCAGATATGCAATTCCTAGGTCAAAGACATATATTTCCAAGAAAGAGAAATAAAAAATAATTCAGAATAGCTTTTAATCATATATTTATAATTTTTAAAGCAATATGTTTGAGTTATAATTTTTTTTTTGGTACCCGGGATCAAACTCAGGTCCTTGTGCTTGCAAGGCAGGCGGCGGAACCACTGAGCTAAATCCTCGGCCCTACAATTTTTAATTTATATTTATTTATACCATCTCTGTCTTCTTAGGAAATTCATTTTCTGTCAAAAAGAAACTACTTTATGTAAAATAATATTTTTTTTAACTACATTATTTTACAAAACACAAAGCATCTGCACTTACCTCCAAATATTGTGTTGGGACAACCAGGTTGATCTAATCCTCCATTTGGGTAGAAATCTATGTTTCCCAGTGGTCCTTCATATCCCAGTGCTAAAAGAAAACATATTATGTTTTCACACGGCTTTGAATTTTTCACACTCCATAGCTCATCTGCCTGTAGGACAAGGGCAGGAACTGTATTATTACTACTATTATTGTTGTTGTTATCATTTTTATACCCATTTAAATATTTTTCCCTGAGGGACCCAGCTAGTTAGAAAGCAGAGTATAAATTCTACCACATCTAATACAGTTTGGATCCTGAATGTCACCCAGAGCCCTCATGTTAAAGGCCTGGTCACAGAGTGGTGGTATGAGAGGTGGAAGAACTTTTAGAGGGAGGTCCTTAGGTCACTGTGGGGGTGCTCTCTCAGGGCACCCCACCCTTCCTCTCCCTCTTCAAGTCCTGATTCTAAGGTGAGCAGTTGGCTCCTCCACACATCCCTCCCACTATGCGCTCCCTTTGCCCAGGCCTAAAAGCACTGGCTCCACTCAGCCATGGACTGGATCCTCCAAAGCTGTGAGCCAAAATAAACCTCTTTATAAGTTAGGTAATAATATCAGGTATTTGTTATAGTGATGGAAAGCTGTTCCATTTCTAGGTGACTGGGAAAATGGTGATAAAATTTAATTCCACTCTTTCTAAAGACATAAGGGAGCTGGAGTCACTACAAGCTACTAAAAATGATACATTTCTTCTTTACATTTTGCTGGAACTCTGTAATTGCCAGGTGCTCCTGAGTCTCCATTTGAATTTGTATAAATCTTTAATGAATAACAGGAAAAAATGAAGTTTTACCTAGTGGGTAAACTATTTAAGCATTTTTAGAGTCCAAGGTAGTAAAAAAAAATAATAATAATAAAGAAACACTTCTAGAAAATGTTCCTAAAAATTTATTTCTTAATTTCCTAAAAAATTATAGGGCCAGGGTTATGGCTGAGTGGTTGAGTGCTTGTCTAGCAGGCTTGAGGCCCAGATTTGATCCCAGAGCCACCAAAAGAGCAGTCAAAGTAATACATGAGGAGGGAATGAGGGAACTAGACATCATTTGGGTGGGCTGAGGGTATAGCTCAGTGGTAGGGCACTTGCCTAGCACTTGAGGCCCTGGGTTTCATCCCAACACTGCAAAAAAACCCAAACACACACAATAACAAATATTTAGTATCTAGGGGCCCATGCCTGTAGTCGCAGGAACTTGGGAGACTGAGGTGGATGAATTACTTGAGCCTGGGAGTTTGAGACAGAATCCATCTCAAGGGGAAAAAGAATTATAGCCAGATTTAACAACTGCTTATCTTCTTTTACCATGTAACCCCAAAATAATCAGTAAAATTCTTGATTAAAACACTCCTGAAATATATGTATGGACATATATGCAAAAGTGGTAATAATAATAATAGTTACTGTATACTGAGATCCTACATGTGTTTGTGGGTATGTTACTAGGTGTCTCACACCTTTCTTCTGATTCTTACAATGTCTGCAAAGTAGCCACTGGTAAATTCAGATGAAAATATGTAGGCTCAGAGACTTAAGAAATTAATGTGATATCACCAAAGAGCAGAATCTGGGACCGGAGTTCACATCAGCTTGGCCACAAAGCTTATACTCTCTCCTTCAGAATTCACCATGTAGAGTGAATGAAATGCAAATGAAATGCAGATTGCTTGATTCCATCAAGCATTCAAAAGTAAGTAAGATTAGGGCCGGGGATTTAGCTCAGTGGTTCCAGCTCCTTCCTCAAAAACGAAAGGTCCCGAGTTTGATCCCCAGTACCAAAAAATAAATAAATAAGTAAGGTTATACTTGGCAAACTCCACAGTAGGAAGGCAGGTGTTAAACACAGATGCATCTCTTTTAAGGCAAACAACTGCTGAATACCACATCAGAGTGCCTGTGGTAGAGCAAATGTTGTTTTGTGCTATGATTAAACCCAGAGCCTCGTGTATGCATGCTAAGCAAGCGCTCTACCACTGAGCTGCTGCCCTGTCCCGGGCCGAGGGTATTTCAGAAGGTCGTATCCCAAAGAGGGTGTATAGTTAGTTAATTGACCGCTCTGCTTTGTCCCCTGTCCTTGTCAAGTTCCCACTCCAGCTCTTCTCTCAGACATCTGGCTGTGGCAGACACCCACCCATGACTGTCACTCCAGCCCACATGGCACGTACACAATCCCAGATGTGAAATCGGCCTCAGGAGAGACAGAAGGGCCTGGACGAGCCACAGAGAGCTGGGAGCTAAGGGAGGCCGGAGTCGCTCCATGGGGACAAATGCGACACTTCAGCTTATCTCTCTGCGAAAGGAAATCATGAGAACCAGAAAAGCACCCAACAAAGCCAGTTGCACATACGGAAATCTGTCCACAGTGTGCAGACCTGCCTTCCTTCATTGGGCAAGGTGGTAACTTTACAAATTAGAAGGAAGGATGGGAAAATCATGCTCCCAGCAGCGCCATCATGTGGCGGGGGGCGCTGCATGACACCAGCTTCCCTCCGGGATTTCTGTGGGTTTGGAGCCCTGCCGGTGGGAGGGCGGGCCTCTGGAGAAACCTGCTCTGTCCCTGCCTGAGGATTCCCCAGGGAGCCTTGGAGTGTTACCGTCCGTGTCCGAGTGGATGACGTCCACGAACAGGGCGTCGCTGGGATCTAATCTGTCCTCCGAAGGTCTCCCGTTGAATGAAGGGCCCGCAGGGTCAAGACCTGGAAGGAAGACAGCGTGGTTTGACAGCCCCATGCCATGAGTCACCCCGCCCGGCCTCTGATCCCTCCCGGTGAGGACGCTCCCAGCCGCAGGGCCCTCAGCGGGGCGCGCACCCCATTCCCATCCTGCTTCATCGGGCTCCTTTGCACAGCCTGCAGCTCTTTCCCACAGTGGAGACGCTACCCTGGCGGTGCCCCTGAGAGCCGCATCCTGACTCCGCGAGGAGGCACGGCGGGTGGAGCTGGGCCGTGCACACGTGTGTGGGTCAGAGGACAAGATGAACCGGTTCCTTAGTGAAAAAGCACCACAGAGTACATAAAAGAGAAAAAGCCCATACCATGTACTCGTTATCCTATTTTAGATGCTTCTGTTCCCCACTCCGCCCTTCCTTCTTGCTATTAATAAAACTCCTTTACAGTTTCCACTTTCATTTATGTCTTATCTCACTCCATCCACATTGCAGATGTATGGGGGAGAAGGGCAGCAACTACGATTCCCATTTTACAGAGGAATGAACTGTATGTAGTCCAGAAACCGGCCCCACTGTCTGTTGAGCCTTAGTCTCCCTGGGCTGACATCAGCAAGCTCAGCAGGGAAGGGCAGAACTCACTGGTCAGGCCAGGCACGGCAGAGGCCGTCACTCCCTGCAGGTAGTACAGGGCATCTAACTGGGGTCTTGCCCTCGTGTTAGCTGGGCATTGCTCACTATCTCTATGAAGCAACCAGAAACACAGGCGAGCAGTTCTTAGGATACTGGAACCACAAAATAAAACTTGAAAAAAGTCAGAGGATTCAAAGGCCCAACTTACTAGAGCCCTATGTGGAGTGAAAATGATCTCTAGGGATGTCTCCCTCAAAGCTCTAATCTATGAATGCCATTTTATTATTTTATTTTATTATTGGTTTGGGGGCTGGGGGTCAAATCCAGGACCCCACATGTGCTAATCACATGCACTACCACTGAGACACTCTCGTAGTCCCTGCCACTTTAGATGCAGTCTCCCGCCCCACAGTGTTGCGCATAAAATCCAAACGATAGCATCTTTCCCTCAGTTTTTCTGGTTCTAGCTTTGATATTTCCATTTCTCCTCTCCCAGTGTTCTTCTGCTTCCTTGAGACATTTATTTATCTACCTGCCTCCTTCCTTATCGCCTTCTCTTTTCTCCCCTTGACTTTCTTCCTCTTCTGTGCACTCCCAACTGAAACTACTGTGGGAGGAGAGGAGCCAACGCCCAGCGCCCACAACCATGATCTTCCCAATCCAACAGGAAAAACCCCACAGCCTTGGGAAGACTTGGCCCAGCAGTTCCCCCTCCTCACACCAGACAACAGCACTTCCTAAGAAAACGAACCTTGAGACCCACAGTGGATAGCAACCTTCAGATGCACGGAAGTTAAAACATCTACCCCAAGGTGAGGCACAAACTGGGACTGCCACAGAGGACCTTGGACTTGTGACATCCACAGTGATAAGCAAAAATGATCAGCCAAAAATTACAGAAAAAGTGCCCCAAACCTGCATAGTCTATGTGAGCAGGCAAACAGGGAGCCCCGAACCCAGCACTAATCAGCTGCATCACAGTAAGCAGGTTGCTTTACTTCTATGAACCTTGGTTTCCTTATATTGTCAAATGGAGGTAGAATTAGTAGCTACTTCAGAAGATTCATAAAAGCACTTCTGAATCGAAATCCAGAGCATTCTGACATTATTGTAGCAGAGAAAATGAATGGAAAAGCCGAGTTCACTCTTACTGCACTAAGATCATCAGAATAGTGTCTAGGCTTTTACTCAGTACTAACTGGTCAGAGATTTGATGAAAGATCTGGACACCTCCCCAGGAAGCCATCCAACATTTTTTGTGCAATTTCAGGGCCCTCTTCCTCCTATCCCTAAGCTCACTGGGTGCTCTCTAAGGCAGCACTGGCCCATAGGCATTTAATGAGGGCCACATTGACAATTTAAAATGTTCTTAAAAAATGAAAAGTTAATTTTAAGAATACTTTTTTGTGGTACTGGGGATTGAACCCAAGGCCTTTGCACTGAGGAACAGCCACAGGCCCGCCCCTCTTTTTTTAATGTTTTATTTTGAGACAGGGTTTTGCTAAGTTGCTAAATTGCCCAAGCTGGGCTCAAACTTGCAATCCTGCTTTATCCTCTCAGAAAGCTGAGATTACAGGTAGGCACCACCACACTTGGCGAGGATACAGTGTGTCTATCCAAAGTATTAATCAATAAAGAAATGTCAGACTGGGCCGGGGATGTAGCTCAGTGGTTCTGCCACCTGCCTCACAAGGGCAAAGACCCAAGTTCAATCCCCAGCACCAAAAAAACAAAAACAAAAAGAAATGTCAGGCTTTTTACATTCTGACTTGCTGTTAGGTCCATATTCTTTGAAAGCCATCTGAGTTTCACACTTACAGTAGCCACCTTGCAAGTGCTCAAAGGCAACATGCAGACAGTGGCTGTTGCACTGTTTCTCAGAGTATGGTGTTGAGACCACCTGTAACTTCCGTTACAATATGGATTCCTGGGGATGTCAGCATGGTTCGACGGCAGAGTGCTTGACTAGCATGCATGAGGCCCTGGGACCATTCAATCCCTGGCACCATTCAATCCCTGGCACCAAATAGATACATTAGAAATTAATGAGAAGTAAAAGCAGATGTGCCTAGAAAGGAAGAGCAAAAGAAATGGAAATGGAAGCAATGAAGCAACCGTCAAGGCCTAGCCGAGTAAGAGAGACCCATCAGCATGTGGGGGTTGGGTAACAGGCCATCTTCTCATGGTACAACCCAGTGAGCCCGTCCAGGCAAAGCGGAGGGAGGTGAGTGGGGAAGGAACAGGCGCTGCTCCTGGAGATGCTCTTGGAGACAGCTAAGACTGAGCTTGGGGAGATTTGGGGGAACATAGAGAAGTCAGTCCGTGGGCTGAAAAATTGAGCTGGGTCCAGCGGCTGAGTCCCGGCCACAGAGTAGGCCATGGGCCCACAGTGGAAGGCAGGCTGGCTTGGGAAATTTTCATGGCCAGAGACCAGAGTCATACTCATATTTGTTACGGGTGTGTCTAGATGTCTCCCAAAGCCTTGTGCAGACATAGGTGGGGCTTTTGCAGAAGTGGCTGCATCTACAGTGTGTGTCGCTGGGACTAAGGGTGTGTGATTACTAAATAAGTCCGCTGATTGGTTTGGCACTGCCCTAATCCTAGTCACCTAAATAGGATATAAAAAGGGGCAGAGCAAAGCTACTGAGGTCCCTTGCTTGCTTGCTTTTGCTGTCTTCTGCCTGCCATGGACTGTTTCTCCTCTGTGATGCTCTCTGCCGTGTTGCCCTGCCTTGGAGCCAGCTGATTATGGACTGAATTCTCTACAAACTGTGAGCTAAATAAACCTTTCCACCTTTAATTTCGGGTGCCAGGTAGTATCAGCAACAAGAAAAGTAACTACAATAATATTCAAAGCGGCTGTGATGACAGGTTTTCTCGAGATCTATCAGTGAGCCGGGCGGGGGCAAAGGTAGAATAAGGTTGTGGTGTGCCGGGGAGCAGCTTTCCTCTCCCAAACGCTGAGCTCAATGACGTCAGATCAGTCAAGCGGGAGTTTTGCACAGCAATTAGCAACTGCTACAGACCAGTTCTTTTTCTTTCTTTTTTGGAGAGCTGGTCTACTTCCAACCTCACCACTGGGAAAAGTCTCTCCCACCAGAAGAGGAATTCCCAACAGTCAAGGACATGGCCAAACTCAAGCCACTTGGCCTTTCTACCTGAGGGAAATGTTTAAAAGTGAAGACGTATTACTTTCTAAAACGATTTTTGAAACTAAACACTACTTTAGGAACTAAAAGATACTAGGATAGCAGGTAAGTTAATAGGAAGCAGGCCTGGCCTTTGGATGAAAGTGAGAAAAAGGGATCAAAAACAAACAATGGGACCTCAAATACCAGGGCTGAAGGAGATGCTGGTCAATGTGGGGTGTGTATGTGCTCACACATGTGTGAGAGAGGCAGACAGACAGACACAGACATGCCTTCCCCAGGGCCCAGAGGTGACTTGCCAAGTTGCCAAGTTCAAATGGCACCTTCCCACTCTTCCCACTTGGGACCCTAAAAGATGAAATCCCAAATATAGTTGACGGGAATCACTGACATTTCCCCTCCCTCCCTGTCTCCACCCTCTCCTCCCTTGCAAATGCTCTAGATGGCAAACACGCCCTATGGGTACAGTTGGACTCTGGGAAAGGCAAATAGGTGAGGCCTTAAGTCTCTGAAAGAGAAAACTGCCTCACCTTGAGCAGCTGTGGAAAGTTACTCAGCTCCAGGTAAGAGATCCTAGCCAAGGGAGTCTTTGTTTGGGGTTTGACTTGCTACATTTCTGAGTGTTTTCATTCTGTGTGGGCTGGAAAGCTGATATTTACAGAGTAAGCTGGGCTATCAACATTCCCATCTCATTTTCCAGCCCCGAGACTCCAGCTGTGTTTGGTATGGGGGACTGCAGAGTGCATGGGGTGCAGTTCATGCCATCCTAGATTCCATACAAGGGAGAAGGCTCTCTGTTGTGGTGTACAGATCAAATTCCCATGGGACACTGCTGTTTTTTCTAACCATAGAAGAAATAAGGTCACTATTGATCTTTCCTAAGGCATATACAGTTTCTATGACTTTTTTTTTGGTACCGGGGATTGAACTCAGGACCTTGCGCTTTCAAGGCAGGTGGTGGCACCACTGAGCTAAATCCCTGGCCCAAGCGTATACAGTTTGGAAAATGTCTTCCTGTTATATCTTTTACTAAATAATGTTCTGAGCTCAGTTTGGTCATGGTCTTCCCTGGAAGAACTGGCCTGGAGCCCAAGGCCTAGGGTGGCCTGCCCAGGGCCCAGCGACCACCCTGCCCAGCTGCACCCCGCCCCTCATGGGGCCTTACCTGTGATTCTCCCCAGCTGCCCAGGGTACATCTTTCCAACGAATCCAGCTATGTGGGCTCCTAGGCTCACTCCAATCATATAAATGTTGCCAAGAGATGCTCCTTTTGCCTGAAATTTTAGAAAGTTCATCGTTATAAATTGTGAGGGGCTAAAGAATTGACTATGTTTGGAGAAATGTTTCTAAGCACCGTACATCTACTGTCTCACTTAAATATCACAGTAATACAAATATTACTCTTTTGATTATATGGATGGGAAAAGACTGGGCCTCAGAATTGAAGTCGTCTGTCCTAGATGAGGCAGTTGGCGGGGGGCAGAGCAGGACTCCAATCAGCCTGTTCAGCCCCAAGTTTGTGCCTTAACTTTTAAACTGTGGTGTCTCTACTCATGCTTCTGATGGAAGCCAAGCTGACATACCTTTTAAAACATTCTTAATTGGATAGAGGAATGACAATTTTATTTTTCATTTTTGGGTGCTGGGGATTGAGCCCAGGGTGACACACATGCTAGGCAAGCACTCTACCACCCAGTGCAGGAAGTGCTACATTCCCATTCCCAGTCCTTGTTTGAATTTTATTTTGAGACACGGTCTTGCTAAATTCCCCAGGCTGGCCTCCAACCTGCAATTCTCCTGCCTCAGCCTTCCAAGTCAGTAGGATCACAGGCCTGTGCGACCGTGTCTGGCTATAAACACATTTTGATGAACTCCTTTGTCTTTGCCTTGGCTGAGTCAATGAAATCACCACAGAGAGGGAAGGAAAGGGGGGGAATGTTGGAACAGTGGACAACACTGAAACAGCTTGTCCCGAGTCAACAAATATTCTCTTTCCCAAGGCTGTGGCTTCGATGTGAGCTCACATCACACTCAGGTCCCTCTGGCCACAGTGGTCACCAGGCCTGACTCTCTGAAAGTGTCCTGATCTCACGTCACTCTTTTTGTTACCGTTAAAAGGGGCAAACCATGAGATAAGTCACCAAATAAAATTTAAGGTTTCACATTTGTAAGTCTTCTAAAAGCACGAATCATCTCATTGGACCATGTGTCCCTGTTTTGGCTTTGGAGAATCTGGTTGTTAAACCTTTGGCACTTCTAGCAGAAGGACTGGCTACAGGAGTTGAAGAAGTGAAGGCATATAAACCAGGAAACCCAGACAGAACCTCTCCTGCCCCTAAGATACCGCTTTAGGAGTCAGAAAAAGAAGCAGCTTTATCAAGACACTTCATTATCACCTGTGGGTATATTATCATAATAAATACCTAAATCAATAACATCTACAGTAACAATGTAATTCCTTTAAACCTGTGTCCTGTGCGGTGCACAACCTCCCCAACCATACCTGTGAGCCTCACAGGCAGTCCCTCCCCTTCCCTGGGGCTTATTCAGATTTGCAAAATGCTACAAAATAGTCCTGCCCAGCCATTGAAGATATCTCTAGGCTTTAAACCTTCGGATAATCAGCCAGCCAGTTTCAATTTGGCCCTGACCCATCTGAGAGAAGTCTCTTACCAACATCTGCTCGATAAATTCCTTCAAGACTATGGCTACTCTTCTGGTCTTACTTGAGGCTTGGTTGTATATTACAGTTGTAGCTCCTCGGTTCCAATCAACCACCACCACGTTCATGTCTTCCACAAGCAGCAAACCCTCCACTAAGTCCCCCAACCAAACTGGAGCGGAGCCCAGAGGCCTGAACCCGTGGATGAGGAAGGTGGTCTTCTTGGTGATGTTTAAGCCCCCCAAAGCCATGGAGTTGACGATCTTGGCGCAGGTCCAGTTTCTCTTTGTGTAGAGCAACAGCCTCACGTCCAGTTCTGTCCCAATCAATGCATTGTGGAAGCCCAGTCTGGTGAACGTGGCACATGTTTCATCTGCATCTGGAAACCAAAGTTGGACAACATTACAGTGGTTGTTTCCTTAGCTGGCATCCAGCAAGTGAGCCCTGCCTTCTGCTGCTGAGAGATCCCTTGTCCCTTGTCACCTGCCAAGGCCTGGCTCTGGGTGAACGAAGTCGCAGAGTCACACTTGAGTCAGGGCTCCTAACAAGTGACCTCTGCTTTTACCAGCATTCTTCCAAGTGCTAAGAGCTGGAAATACAGCTCAGTGGCACCGCGCCTGCCTGGCAAGCACAAGGTCCTGAGTTTGATCCCCGGTACTGGAAAAAAAAAAAAAAAAAAAAAAAGAAGAAGAAGAAGAATCAATTGGATACAAGCATGGCTGTGATGGCTGTGTTCTAATAAAACTTTATTCTAAAAAATGCTACCAGGGGCCGGGGATTTAGCTCAGTGGTTCTGCCACCTGCCTCAAAAGCCCACAGTCCTGAGTTCAATCCCTGGCACAAAAAAAACAAACAAAAAAAATTGCTACCAGGCTTCCAGATCCAACCTGAAAGTCACCTAATGAATACTTGGCAGGTACACTATGGGAGGCACACCACAGCATGGTTTTGAATAATTCTTCCACTTCCGAATACTACAGTGTCCCAATCATTATATACTGTGTTTGGAAACTAGTCGGAGCTTTAGTGTTTATCCTCCCTCCCTTCTTCTTTCTTCCTCCCCCTCTCTCTTTCTTTTCTTTTCTTTCTTCTCCCAAACCTTGCCTCACTGAGCTAGAGCAGCCGAGGAGGAAGTGAGCTGTCACATGACGAAGCCTCAGCTGAGCCTAGAGCCTCCTGTAGGACACCGCACGGGAGGCAAGGCCCTAGGATTGGCTCTTCCTTGCGACGGGCCTGGAAGACAAGTGTGCCCTGGGAAGCATCCATCCTGCTTCCTCCACAGTGAATTCGGGAACTCTGCTGTGGTTCCCTATTCTTAAGGCCTCTGTGCTTTCATGCCCAGAAACTGTTCTCCTCACTTGTGAGCCTGGGAGCAACCTTCATCCCCACATTTCTGTCTGTCTTTAATAACCTGGGTCCTTCCGTGGGTCCATTTACGTGAAACTTGCAAAGGCCTTGATACTCAAGACTGAGTGAAGTTCAAACAGAACGAGCACAAGAAGCCCCACTAGATGGTTAAGAGTTAAGGAGGCTTGGAAACTCCTCACCCTAGAAAAGAGATGCTTAATTTCAAGCCCCCAATCCCTCCATTATTCCTTCTGCTCTACACCCTTGAGCAGCAGGTGCGGCGAGGCACCTCAAGGTATAAATAAACACTTCCGCCACCTGCCGGCCTCGCTCACTGCCTCTTCATGTAGATTGCATGCTCCTGGAGAACACGGACTGAAACTTGTACACTGCTTGCAGAACAAGCCCCAGAGCAAATGACTGTTTAATTAGTCATCTCCTGGGACAGGAGTTGTCACGGGACAGGACCGCGCCTCTGGCCTTCACCATCAGTAAACTGGGGCTTGTTCCTGTGTGGGCGACTGACTAACCAGGTCGACTGGGGAAACCACATCATCTTTCTCTGGCTCCTCTCTGTCAGGAGAGAAAGGCAGTGAGGTTAATTCTGAAAGAGGTCATCCTGGGGAAGCCAGAGTTCCCCTCCCCAGGAAGAGGACTATGTGATGATGTCCATTTTGAGGCCTGTGAGCAATGTCAGGCCAGTGTGCCTGTTGTAAGTCATACATATGAGTCCTAAAAGGCTCAGAAAAAAGCTGTGAAATGTGGGGCCCGAGCTATTTTTTAGCTTTTTTTGGGCGGGGGGGGGGGTACCAGGGATTGAATTCGGGACCTTGAGCTTGCAAGGCAGCAGAACCACTGAGCTAAATCTCCTGCCTGGGAGCTATTTTTTTTTAGCACAACTACAAGCTTCAGTATCTATGCACAGTTCAGCCAACCTCCCGGATATGCTGAACTCTAGCAGAGTCCTTAAAATTGACGGCTATTGTAAGGCAAAGAAGGGCAAAACAAATGAATTTTCAGTTTTCATTTGAAAGAACTATGGTAGGGCCTCCACACTGAGCTACATCCTCCAGCCTTTTTATTTTTTTATTTTGCAATAAGTTCTCATTAAGCCACTTAAATTGTCCAGGCTCGCCTCCAACTTGTGAACTTTCTGCCTAAGCTTCCCAGAGTGCTGAGATTACAGATGCGCACCACCTCCTCTGCTTGCTCCTCTGTTTTTTAAATATCTTGGCTATAGCACTGTGCCCTGGAGAAGTACATTGTAAGCACTGAGTAAAAAATAGTCGATTTCCTTTCTCTCTGTCAGTCCTAAACATTCTAAGAGTTTGATGTGTATTCTCGCTTGTGCCTGGAGAACATATGCAGTTCATGCAACAAAAGTCTCCTTTAGGTGGGCGCAGTGGTTCACACCTGTAACCTCAGCCACTCAGGAGCCTGAGGCAGGAGGATTGGAAGCTCCTGGCTCACACACCTTAGTGAGACCCTGTCTCAAAATAAAAACTCAGGGCTGGGAATGTAGCTCAATAGGAGAACACTTGCCTAGCATGAACAAAGCCCTGGGTTCAACCCTCAGCACTGCAAAATAATAAATAAAACCTTAAAAGGGCTGGAGATACAGGGCTGAAGCTTAGCATTTCCTGGGTTCGATCTCAATCCCACAAAATAACTAAATAAATATTTGAGAACTGAGGATATAGCTCGGTAGTAGAACATTCGCCTAGCATGCACATGGTCCTGGGCTCAATCTCCAGTACCACAGAAAAGAATGAAATAATCCTCTATGTGTGGATGTATCATTCACCCTTGCAGTGGTGGCAAACCTGTGGCACACACAGGCCTCCCCATCAGTGAGCGAGCCAAGTCACCCCAGCAGCCAAGCATCGGATAACAGGTGTTTGTTCTAAACTAAAACCTCAGTGTTCAGGTTTAACTGCAGGGTTGGCACTTTGGGATAAATACATGGGTTTGGGGTTGCAGTTTGGGCACTCAGTATCTAAAAGCTCTCTGTTCAATTACTGTAGCTATTCTATCTGTTCATTTTGGAGGAGGCAAAGTGAGAAAGTTAGTACATTTGTATCACCCTCCTGTACTCTCTGATCCCTTTCAAAACAGACACAAACACACACTTTTCTCACTGTTAAATGCAGTGAGTGATTCCTCATGATTTGTAGATTTCATCTTTGCAAATTTATTTGTAGTTCAATAGTCGATACCTAAGGCATCTTTTCAGTGATTCAGGGACAGATGCCAAGTGGCACACATTCATCATCTGACACCCGCGGGTCTCAGCTGAAGTGCAACAAAGTGGTACTCTGCCTTCTTGTTTGTTTCAGCTCTCCTAATTTAAAGGAGGGTCCTTTACACAGCCATAGTCATTTCCTGCCATGTTCCCTCCCTCAAATGACACTTCACACAAAGTGTCGAAGCGCTGTGTTTCTAACCATAAGAAGGCTGTGATGTGGCTTCCTAAGAACACATTTGTTAGATAAGCTTGGCCACTGGTCCTAGTCCAGTGTTAATCAAGATGTCTTTGAAAGGCCGGGGATTTAGCTCAGTGGTTCTGACGCCTGCCTCGAAAGCACGAGGTCCTGAGTTCAATCCCAGGTACCAAAAAATAAAATACAATAAAGCAGAAGTTGAAATGTCTCTTTTAAAAAAAAAAAAAAAGATGTCTTTGAACCAGAACACACAGAAGGCTGTGCCCAGATTGGTCAGTCGACAGAAGCATTACAATAAAAGAGGCATGCAGAAACCTAACCCTGTGTCTCTCTACGATCAGTGTTCAGTACTCCTGAACTCAGTGGTTGAGGGCATTTTATAGTACATAACTGCCACAAATAACAAGAATGGGTACATAAAAATCATCTTATGCAGCTGAGCACAGTGACAGCTATTCCAGGAGGCTGAGGCAGGAGGATCACTTGCACCTATGTGTGCAAGTGCACCTAGGCGTTCAGATCTAGCCTGGGCAACCCAGGAAAATCCCATCTCAAAAGAAACAAAATTTCTGTACTCATATTTCCCCAGTGATGTGGTCTCACTTCTGCAAAGTCAGGACTTATTCATTGCCCACAGTGAGTCCTTCTCCCTAGGTCACTGGCTCTTGCTGTCTTCTCAGGGAAGGCTCGTGGTTGACTCTGAAATTCATTCCTGAAAAGAGTTTCTTAGCCTAAATGATGCTCTGGACTCTGAACAATATTCTTTCCCTCAGGAATTACAAGTATCATTCTACTTCCTTCTTATATTGACTTTTACTGTACAGAAATTTCACCTTTCTATTTTACTTGCTTTTTTCACAACCTCATGCCTGGAACATTTTCCCATGTTTTTCCCAGTGCCAAGTACAGCACCTGGTTCCGAGTTGACATTAATAAATACTTCAGAATAAATGAATATCAACCCATGAACACAGTATTGGGCCATTCACCATGATCCATATGAATTCTACAAAGAAAATATAGTTTATAAAATGAACAGAATGAGAGTCTGAGGCTGCAGCCCAGCAGCTGAGTGCATGTTTAGCATGGCAGACACCCTGAGCTCAATCTCCAGCACCACAGAACTAAATCAATAAATGAGCCAGGTGTGGTGGCACATGCCTAAGAGGCCCATCATTCTGAGAGGCTGAAGCAGGAGGATTGCCCAAGCAGCCTGGGCAACTTAGTGACTTGTCAGGACCATGTCTCAAAATAAAAAAATAAAGATAAAAGGATTGGGGATATAGTTCAGTGTGAAGGCCTTAGATTCAATCCTTAGTACTGCAAAAAGTAGCAAATAGTATATGAATAAATAAATAATGAGAGGGCACATCATACACTATGATTGAAATTATGTAAAAATATCTGCAGGTGTCAAGGCCAGGAAAGTACATGCAAATAAAAATAAGTTCTACTTTCCATTTCTCATGTTCTTTGTTTAAAATTTCCCACCAGAACTAACCATTCCTAAAAGAAAACATTATTTATCTTGGACCATGTTACAAATTAAACTACCTGAGGGCAGATACTGTGGGAGGATTTGGGTTTCTCG